ATATATATATATATATATATATATATATATATATATATATATATGTTTCATTGAATATGACCGCATATTCTGTATTATTATTTTCTGGTTTAGGGCTTCTATCCCTCTAACTATTTCTTAGCATCAGGGCTTAATTGAAATAGGAGTACTCCAAAACTCATTTTCGTACTTTTAAGGTGAAGAAAAGAAGTGATTTACTATAGAGTGTATTACACTTATTGTATAATTTGCACGTCGTGCAAATTATACAAATAAGTGTAATACACTCTATAGTAAATCACTTCTTTTCTTCACCTTAAAAGTACGAAAATGAGTTTTGGAGTACTCCTATTTCAATTAAGCCCTGATGCTAAGAAAATAGTTAGAGGGATAGAAGCCCTAAACCAGAAAATAATAAATACAGAATATGCGGTCATATTCAATGAAACATGTTTGAAAGAAAACCTGCTGCCAGTATACACCAATATATATATATATATATATATATATAGGGTTGTATAACCTTGTGTAAATGTGTTATAACCTTGCATAGCTTCGTATAGTTCTGAGTAGTGTTTTGTAGCCTGGTATATTTCTGTACTAGACACAGTTCTGTACGAGACACAGTTCTGTACTAGAGACAGTTCTGTACCCCTGGGAACGACAAGGGGAAGTATTAAAAGGTCATTCCCCCTGCCCCCTACAGGAGGGCCTGGTGGACGTGTGGGTGGAGATGAGCGATGGGGTGGTCATGCCCCTAAGAGAGGTGCCGCCCTCCCACTACTCCCTCAGGGTTCGATCCCTGGATCCTGAAGTGGTGGCTGTGGCGCCCTCGCCCCGCACCGCCCAGCCAAGGGTCATCGCTATAGGTCACGGGACAGGTGACCTCCTCGAGGTAAGGTCACAGGAGGTCAGACTTGGGGTGATGTATTATTCAGAGATTAAAATTAACAACAATTATAATAATTAGTAATAATAGTCAACAACAATAATTAATATTACTAATGTTAGTAACTACTAAATGATTTCAACACTAACATAAAATACTAAAAAAAACACAACATTCGCGAGACAATCCATTAAGGTATAGTTCACTAAATACTCTCCTAAGTATATTTAGATCAACTAAATACTTGACCTGGAGGTCACGTTAGGTCAGGTCAGGTCACAACACAACCGTTATCTTCAGATGACTAACAACCACTAACAGCCTCTTAACAGCCACTAACAACCACTAACAACCACTAATAGCCATTAACAGCCACAAACAGCCTCTTAACAGTCACTAACAGCCAATAACAGCCATTAACAACCACTAAAAGCCACTAACAGCCATTAACAGCCACAAACAGCCATTAACAGCCACTAACAGGCACTAACAGCCTCTTAACAGCCACTACCAACCACTAACAACCACTAACAGCCACTAATAGCCTCTAAACAGCCACTAACAGCCACCTAACAGCCACTTAACAGCCACTAACCATCCACTACCCCGTGTGCGTGGACAGGTGAGCCTGGAGGTGTCAGAGGAGTGCGGCCACCGCAGGGCGTCGCTCGCCAGTACCAAGGTGCACGTCAAGATCGACCTGGGCACCACGCCCCCGCCCGCGCCGCCCGCCCTCGACAATGACCTCCGCCCACACCACTCTCTCACCGACGACCCCGCCCACCACAAGCTTAAGGTCAGCTCTCTCTCTCTCTCTCTCTCTCTCTCTCTCTCTCTCTCTCTCTCTCTCTCTCTCTCTCTCTCTCTCTCTCTCTCTCTCTCTCTCTCTCTCTCTCTCTCTCTCTCCCTCTCTCTCGGTATTAACATATATAACTATTATGTCAATAATATGAAAGTTATGAAATAATTCCGCTAGTAGAAATTTGTTATTTCATTAACTCAGTTTCATTAATTCAGTTTGTTGAGTGTATGTGTAGTGGTAGTTTGTTGATAATGTGTGGTGGTAGTAGTGGTAGCAGTAATAGTATGTTGTGGTAGTTTTTGTACTGCATAGTGGTAGTTTGTTGATAGCGTAGTGACAATGGTAGTGTGGTAGTTGCAGCGTATGGTGAGAATGGTGGTAGTTTGTTGACAGCGGTAGATAATGACAGTGACAGGTAGATAATGGGGGTTATGGTGATGGTATAGTGAGTGGTGTCCATCTCCCGCAGGTTCACGTGTCAGAGTTGCCGCACGCGGATGCCGCAGCCCCGCACAACCACCTCATGCTGATGGCGGAGCAGCCGCAGGAACCCACCATCCACTCCCGCCTCCACCCGCCCCGCCCTAGCGGCGTCACGCCCCTGGAGGTGGGCATGTACGTGCTCCTGGCCGTGTTCGGCGCCGCCATTGTGGTCTTCGCCGCCTCGTACGTGGTGTACACGTGGAGTGTACGTGGCGGCAAGCCCATGATGCCCCCGTCCCACCACGCCCGCCGCGCCTCACACCACAACCACCACGACTCCGTCACCAATGCCCACGACTGGGTGTGGCTGGGGCGCGCCACCTTGGAGAGGGCATCGGGCATGGGGATCTCTCCTCCTTCGCAGTCAGCTTCCACGGGCATGATGCCCCTTAGTGACCTCAATGGCAACAGCCAGGAGCAGCAGCTGCTGCAGCAGCAGCAGCAGGAGCAGCAGCAGTTGCAGAGTACCTGGCAGGAACTGCAGCGTCTGTCTCGTGGGTACGACCCATGCCCCGCGCCAATCAACATTACCACTAACCCAACTGCTGATGAGGAGACTGAGACGACCCCACGCCTGGCTGGGTCAACCCACGCCCCTAGCGACACGACCCACACCCCTCGCCTGGCTGGGTCAGTCCATGCCCCCAGCGACACGACCCACACCCCACGCCTGGCTGGGTCGTCGACCTTCACTCGTCCGTCGCGCAACGGGCGCCGCGTGACGTTCAACAACCTGAGTGAGGAGGCAGCAGCGGCCTCCAGCAGCGAGGAGGAGCGTCCCCCCATCCCCCCTCACCGTAACATCGGCGTCACCGCCAACATGCCCGACCACAACGACGCCAACCCTCCGCCCGTGCCCCCTCACGGCGTCAACGTCATCACCAACCCTCTGGAAGATGGGTATTCTGGCAGGCAGGGCATGAGTGGGTATGAAGGAGCTACTCTGAGCCAGCTGCAGCAGGCCTACACGCAGCAGCAGCAGCTCCTCCACCCCTCACACACGCAGCCTCATCAACACACTCACCAGGAGAAAGAAATTTCAGACCCCAAGTTCGTGGAAGTGAACGCCGACGATTTTGTGCGCCTGCGCGGTGTGTGCCGAGGGCGGGCGGGACAGGTGCGCCGCGCCACTATCCTGGAGAACCCGCTCCTCTCCTCTGCTCTCCCGGACAACTTCAGCGTCACCGACCACCTCGACAACCTCCCGCCATCCATGGACTATGACCAACTCATGGAGTACTTCTCCAACCTTAAAGAATCCAACGCCTGAACCTCTGACGCCGCTGGGGATGCAAGAAACTTGTTGGTGCCATAGTGGATGCCTCGCCAGGATGGTACCTGCCACGAACTTCGGGTACCCGCTTCGAAACCCGGGCACCTGCCTCGAACTTCGCGTACCCGCTTCGAACTTCGGGTTCCCGCCTCGAACTTCGGGTTCCCGCCTCGAACTTCGGGTTCCCGCCTCGAACTTCGGGTTCCCGCCTCGAACTTCGGGTTCCCGCCTCGAACTTCGGGTTCCCGCCTCGAAACTCGGGTGCCCCTTGACCGCACCAACCTCAAAATGGAAAAACTGTCTCGCCTCACAAACTATAACTCGTGTACTCGGTGAATCCCTGAAGCGTGCCAGTCTTGTGGCTTCATGTCGCGTGTGCGCGCGCGCCTGTGAGCGCTGCATAAACTGAGACACGCCCCATCGTTGGAGCATGCGCACATAAGGACGCTTGGCGCACTGTACATTTCCTATACCACGTTACATGGAAGTAACTGAGAATTATAGTGACTGCTGTAAATGACGCAAAGAATTTTGCGACATGAATAAGATGTATATCTTTGTTCAAGTGTTCATCCTAGGCTAGGATTATATGTCAGCTGTGTGTGTGTGCTAGTCGTGTTGATGCCGGAGTGCAGGGGCACTGGTCGGGTGCCAGGGAGGGGGGTGTGTGTGTGTGTGGCACAGACACGCCCCTCTTGGCACTCTGCCGTGTTGACGTGTATAGAAGGATGTAACCACGTTTTCCAACTCCTCGGTTGCTGTGAAATCCCGACGCAGCAAAGCAGAGCTTAAACAACAGCGTTTCTGGACTCGATACATATTTTATTTTCAATCAAAAGTCTTATGAGATCGGAAGGCTGAGTCTTGTTGAGAGCCTCGGAAGGCTGAGTCTTGTTGAGAGCCTCGGACGGCTGTTGTGACGAAGAGTGGACGCTGCTGTATCTGTACTCACAGCTTAAGAGGAATACGAGTATATGGTTACTGACAATGAAGGTAATTTCTAGAAATATATCATCGATAGCAAAAACAAAGCATGTTACGGTGTTTGGTGCAGTTAGACAATGCATGAGTACTTCAAATCAGTATATTACCTGCAATAATGCTAGACTTCAGTGCAACGTTACTCTCTCTTGTCGACAGGAACTCTAGAGTGCACTGTTGGCTCATGAGTGCTGCAGTATTGGCTCGCAGCGCTGCTCTGTGGGCCCGCAGGCCTGCTGTGTGGACCTGCTGTGCTGCTCTGTGGGCCCGCAAGCGCTGTTTTATGGGCCAAGCATGTGCTGCTCTGTGGGCCCGCAAGCGCTGCTCTGTGGGCCCGCAAACGCTGTTTTATGGGCCCCGCATGTGCTGCTCTGTGGGCCCGCAAGCGCTGCTCTGTGGGCCCGCAAGCGCTGCTCTGTGGGCCCGCAAGCGCTGCTTTGTGGGCCTGCAGAACAGCTATATTGGCTTGCAGAACCGCTATGTAGGCCTGCAGGAACGCTATGCTGGACCGCAGTAGCGGTAAACTCATACCTGCTAGGGTGAGTCTCTTGGAACGTTGCTAATTTCTCGCAGTAAGTGCTGAGGGACTTTTTGCGGTGCCTATAACAGCGGAAACTTAGAGAATAGCGGCGTTGGTCTATGCTTATCTGCATCGGCCTGTTGACCGGCGCTGTAGTTCATTTGACTATCACAGTGGTCTTGTCTCTGATGTGGTCTATGAAAATGTTTTCAAATGCTCTCTGGCATGTTTGAGGCGCATTTATGACCTGTGTTGTTTTTTTTTTCCACCTTGAGGCGTTTTGGATAAAAATATTTGCCATGCGTTTATGACCCAGGTTTTTATATCTCATGTGTTTGGAATATGTTTTTGACATTCTCGTGATCTGTAGTCAGGCGATGATTTTTTGAAATATTTTTCTGATATTCTTTATTACCTGTGTTTCAGATGATGTGTTTGGTACATGTTTATAAATGCATTTGAGACTTGAAACGTTTGGAACATAGCGCGTTTATGACCAGCATTTCAGACTCAACGTATTTGGTACGTGTTTTTTTTTTTAGCACGCTTCTGGCCTCGATCTGAAACGTAACACTCTTGGGGTGTATTAAGTAATGCTTTTATGTTCTCTCTGGGACATATGGGAGGGAAATGGAGGCGTCAGTGGGCTCAAGCAAGGTCGACAAGAGTTGTCTTAGTCTTTTAAACCTCTAATCTTTGGCAGGGTCTGACCCATGGCCAGATATAGCCACACTCATACGGTGGATACCGTACGCCAGGGGTAGTGAGGGGGGGCAGAGTAGAGGCAAGTCACGTCAGTGCTTTTTGTAGTGTTGGCAGGGAAGGGTTAGCCGAGGTAGCTGGCTTTATTGTTGGCAGAGAGACTACAGGCTGGAGAACGAGAGAGGACAGGCAGTCATTGGTGCTGGCGGAGGAAAACCAGTTATCAGCTTGAAACCAGAATTCGTTAACGGAATAAATATTGATGTTAGTTTCATGGAGACGGATAGTCACTGGCCGAATAAAATATTATAAGTAGATGTTGATATAAAAAAAATGCCTGACATTGCCAGAATGAAGATAGATATTTAACAATAATTGGTGTTAACAATTTGACAGTAGAAATGCCTGTGTTGACAATAAGAAGTCAGGCAATTGCAGAGGCAGGTGCTCAACACTACATGCTGGCAAAAGGCTACGAATTGTTGGTACTAAGAGAATAAAGGCCGATGGTGTTAAAGGTTAATGTTGGGTGTAGAACCCTCAGTGGTGTCCGAATTAAAGTTTATCAAACAACTGTGATGTCATTGAGAGATAATGTTTAAAGTAAGGTGCTGGTTATTCTACCTCTATCATACCCCCTTGAGGTTGTCAATTGTTGACCTCTTGATGATGACAGTATGATACAGTCTTGTGAACTGTATAATAAGTGCTTGAACTGTTGATAGACTGGGATGTGGCCTCTTGGTTACTTAAGGAGTTCAGCTTAATTACAAAACCTGCATAAGTTTAGTTCAAGGAGAGAGAGAGAATGAAGTTAAGTCCAACATTAGGTTATCTGATTTTATATTCTTTAAGAATCTTATTAGCATAATTATGATTACTAAATTGACACAGCCACCTTCTTAAGGGGGTACCAGCTCCTCCAGCAATAGAGACGTTACTAGCAGTTCCTGATTGGTCTATTGGGAGATGGTTGTCTTACCACTGGAACGAAACTATCGTTAGACCGAAACTTTCCTTCGAAGCTGGTGGGATTACCACTAGAACGGAACTATCGGTAGGAGCTGAAAAGCCTATCCCTCAAACCAGACATTTTGAGAAGGTGATAGGCCTACCACTGGAACGAAGCCCTTGTTAAAAGCTGGTAGATCTACCCATCTATCTAACATCTATGTTAGTAGATGGTAAATCTATCTATTTGACGGTGTCAAATTCTATGAATTCCTAACATTGTTATAGAGATAAAATATTTCAAAGTTGATTTGCCTCGATTTACTACCTATCGTATAAATTTCATTATAGTTGCTCTGTACCACTTGGGCTAAAGGGTAGAGCGACGGACTCGCTTCGTGCAGGTCGGCGTTCAATCCCCCGACCGTCCAAAGTGGTTGGGGCACCATTCCTTCCCCCACCCCACCCCCCCTGTCCCATCCCATCCCAAATCCTTATCCTGATCCCTTCCCAGTGCTATATAGACGTAATGGCTTGGTGCTCTTCGCCCATGAGTTCCCATTCCTTCTCTTCATTTTGTTTACACGAAGGTGCAAGAGAGACAATTGGAACTGAAATCTCGTTAATAATCCTATGTTCAAGAGGCTTCAAACGTGTGTTTTTCACGTGTTTTCCTGTCTCTTGCGGACTTATTCATTCATCCTCTTTTTTTTATTTTGTAATTGTTTCGCTAATCGTGTTCCTATTTTCATTGAATCGACATTATAGTTTCTCGAGTATATTGCGCTTCGCGCTCTTCATTCGTTACATATGGCGCGTCTCCTGGTTCAGCCCCGTGATGGTATTATGAGGGCGTTTATGTACATAAGCTGAATGTTTATGCGTTTATTTAAATAAATTATTTAGTTTTGTAATGACTTGCTCGCAAATTTATTCAGAGTGCCACCGAAGCCACAGTTGGGATATATATATATATATATATATATATATATATATATATAACATTATATTGCACACAAAACCGTTTTCAATCTTTTTATAAAAATTATATAAGATTATAGCTAATAAAACTATGTATCCATGAGCATTTATGAAGTAGCTTAAGCCTTCACAGATTTTTTATATAACACAACATTTGTCGCCTAATTTATAATTCATAGTTTATATATACCACTATAATTATCGCCCATTGATTATATTTACTCAACTATAATTACTGCCCACCATTAATTGCTCAAGTCCAGTCCTTAAAGAAATTTTAAAATGCATCGGAATTTAAAAACAAATATTAATTTTTTTGTGTAATTTACTTTTTAAACTTTTTTTAATATGTTGTTTGGGAAAATAATATTTTTGGGGTATTTGGGGTTTTAACGATTGCAAAAATAGCCACATAAGACTTAGGTTTGATAACAAATTTATCAAATATCAAGACGAATGTTTGGCATTTGTTTTTCATAAATTACAGAAACCGTGGTATTTATTAACGCGTTGAAAAATCCGACTGAATCCGTAATTCAGTCGGATTTTTAGGAAAACGAACGCAGACAACATTCAGATGTTGATATTCTTAACTGCAGTACTTGAATTATTTGATTGGATTTGGGTCAGATTTGAAATTTGTTCGTCTATTTCTTGGTCAGATTGTGCTTGTGTGAACTACGGCCCTAGACATGAGTTGGTTTGGATAATTATACACGATACAATAATTAATACGTTTTATTAAATTTAGCAGATTAATGTGGATATATTTCTAGTCATAAGATAGCTTTAAATGCAAATTATTTATTGATTACCTTCTTATTAAAAAAATATACTAATATACATAGAAATTGGTGTAAATGAGATTATAGGAAGAGTTGGCAACCGCTGTGACTAGTCAAAGAAAAACAAAATGGAAGCGACGTCCCCAGACAATGGCATAGAGCCAAACTTTATATACATGGAGTTCTGTGCTTGTGTGTTCTATCTTTATTTTTCTCCCCCACTATACGGTAAGAAAAGTATACTATATGATGACGTTTAGAAATACTGCCTACGATCTTCGAATCTATATAGCCTCTTCGCGAGGCTGTACAGCATTGATCAAACTTACAAAACTATAATGCATTTGACTCATATGGTTGTTGTATGGATAAATTTATCTCTGCTTATGAAGATGGTTAGATGCTTGATGATGACTGTGTGTGTTTGTATGGACGCGAAAACTAGTCAGAGGAGCAGCTTGTGAAAGCAATTTCTACTGGATTATATTTGCAAGTCGTGTAGGCTTCGATTGACGCTTCAAAACTTCGAACCATGTCTCGTTTTCTGATATTTTCGCAAATATAATGTCATTGTTTCACGAGAATTAATTTTGAGCTATGGCACGGTATTAAAATATCACAGAAAAGGTTAGAAAAATGGAGAGAATATTTTGTAGTGGTTTAAAATCACATGATAGTCACGTATGTACAGTATATATATATATGACAGTCAGCGATTATTAACTCAGTTGAACCTATACTGATCTCACACTGTTTATATTATATCCTGAATGACAAAGATAGCCTTAATCTTGTACTCAAAAAAGCCTCTTGGAGATTATTGTAAGTCATATCTACTATAGTTACTGATTTGATTGACTTGTTGTGGGGGGGGAACTCGATGTGCTTTTAACGAAAGAGAGACTTAATATTGCGAAGACTCCGAAACTAATATAGCGACTTGTCGCTCTATTATGGCGATGAGACAGACGTTCGCCGCTGTGGCTGAACTGTGTTTACATACTAGAAACTAGTGAAGAAAATGGCGACGATGTTTAGCTGGAATAGTTTGTGTGGTGATGACTGAGTCAACCCTTCACCCGCCCCTTCAAGTCAAGAAAAATGGCGAAAGTGACCGAATTTTGTTTTTTGTTTTTCCCTTAGATATAATGCGAGGATGAAGGTTATATACCCCCCCCCCCCCTAGGTGTAAACGTGAGACTGACCTGTATGTACACTACTCATAAGGCTTAAAATGGATGTTCGTGTCTTGCAGTGTCACTTTCCTCTTCGTACGAATTTCATGCCGAAATATTTTTTAAATCATGATCATTTTTTGTTAACAGCATTGTTTGCTTGTTTTATTATTGTTAAAGCCAGTTTTGGATTTGTTTGTTTGGTTTATTTCACGAGTGAAGAGTAGCCTAATGACACGGTACTCCCTCGACCTTAAGAAATGGATAAGAATATAATTCCTACTTATATATTTTAACTCATTCTTCCTGCTCTCTGTTAACATAATCATTCTTTCTGCTGTTTAAATGCGGCATTCTATTCACATGACTTCTCCTTCAGATTTTCTCCCTTCCTGAAAGACAAAAACCATTCATCAGATTCTTCAAAGCATATTTTTCATTATTTCTAGCTTCTTTTGGCTTCTTCGTGCCTGCACGTGTGGCATCTTGCTAGACTTACTGTTCTTCACGTGGGTAGAAGCGAGACCCGCTGAAGACGTGACCATTTTAGACAATTATACCTCATAATATTGTTTTCTTTGATCCTGTATATCATGTCACCTTTCTAAAGATCCTCACATGCACTGTTGAATCTAATAAACAAATCTCGATGCTGTTATCTGTCTCACAGACTTTCATATGTGATACTTGTTACGTGTAAACAAATATTAATTTATTGTATATCGTCCAGATTAACAAAACCAGTACTTGATTTTTTGTTTTGTTTTTAATTTGTTAGATGAAACTTTTCACTCCAGTGAGTATAAAAACACAGCTCCAACAGAATTCGTTTCTCGTTGGATGAAATGTTTCTCTGTAAATTGTACATGGCAGGTTTTTGTGAGTAGGGCAGTATGTTGTTTTTTGCCAATGGTCCTTAAATGTCTTTTAAAAATCACATTATAGGCATGAGGATTTGGAAAAAAACCATAACGTTCCGTTACCTATCAAAATTTGTGTTCTGTTCACTGTGAGTAATGATGATCATTAACACTGAATATGTGTGTGTCAATCAAACATGTATTGATCTTAAGTTCTGGAGCCCCATTGGCGGGGTTGCGGTCAACTATTACAAACTGTACAGTCGTTAGTGCTGTAAGGATGTGAAATAAAATATCTTTACACTAATACAAAATATTGTATGATCTACCCTCTCTCTCTTTCTCTCTGTTCATTGGTGATATACACATTGGGCTCAACATTGCTGGGCATCATATAAACAATTTTCAAGCAGGTAAATATACAAGAATAAAATATAGTTTTCAGCTGTATGCACCTTGGGAGAACGGCCGCAGTTTTAACGAGCCAAGCTTGATGACGGGTTGCTAAATACTCCAGTTTGTCTTCATCAACAAAGATCAAATGTTTATTCCGTACAACCGCCAAACCACATTGTCAAATTGAACGAAATGCTTCACCTGCATGTTCTACGAATAAGTGCCAACAGAGCCTAAACATGTAGCCTAACCTAGACCAAGCAATCCATAAAATTCCAATGTGCACAATAAAAATATATTCAGTATATATTTGCCTATTTTTGCTATAAAAAGCCGTAATTTAAAACTCCAAATATGTGCCCTGAATTCCGTTTAAAATTAACACTCAAAAGTCATATTTCTGATAGGCATCATATTTTGAAAACTGCTGGTCAATTTGGACAAAATATGACAAATGGCCCTATTCACTAATAGGCACATTATCGTCCTAAGGCCAGGTTGTTTCATTAGGCATCAAAATATGCGGTTTATTAGAAGACACAATGGTCACTCCTGAAGCTATGATCAAAATGGAAAGAGTAAGCCTGTGTTACACACAGAAATCACAATGGCTTGATGCATCATTGAACAAATCCACAAGGGCCGTGGCGAGGATTCGAACCTGTGTCTACCGACCCGTAACAGAAAATATGAGGTGTGTTGAGGAACTTAATTGAGTGTAACAATCTCAAAGATGAGGATCATCCTCTAGTTGGTATAAGACTATAATTTCAGGAGGATGGGTTGAAGAATATGCATAATGATAATGAATTAGTTACAGAATTTGCTAATATATAGGTCTATTAAGTTCTTCAACCACCCCCACCTACACCCCCCCCCCCAACCAACTCCTACCCCTTCCCAAGCAAATTTGGCCAAATTGCGTTGATCGCGCTTATACAGACACCATGGTGGAAGGACCCGGGTTCAATCCCTGAGCAGGACACATGTTTACGGCTGGGATCGTCGTTTCTATTCACCTGATGCCTCTATTCATGTTGCAGTGAACAGAGTACCCAGCTGGAGTTAAGTAACTGTTGTACTCTCCTAGTTGTGCTTGCGGGGGATTGAACTCTTTTGGTCTAGAGTTGGTTGTGGGTTGCTTCTTGAGGAAGGAGGGCAATGAGTACAAGTCTGATTCAAAGAGATACGAGCAAAATACCGTTGACAACTTGACGCTTATCCTCAGGGTCATTTTATCAGGATGTTGTGATTTAGGCAGGATTATTTTTTTTCCCCCTTACGTCTGGGGGAAAAAAATTTCGTCTGCAAACCGGCAACTCACTTCGGTCTTTTTCGTGGTCCGTATTCCATACACATGCACCTGTCTTTCTGCCTCCTCTGATAGATGTAGCTTTTCTTGCCTTTCACCTGTAGAGCAGGCTGCCTTAATTCAAGAAACGCAACTATGGTGGAGGGAAGTTACACACACTATAGCTCGTAATACTGTACTATACATTCCTAGTACGAATTACTTCAACGTTCCCTGCACCTGCTATTAATGATGGATTGTACATAAATGTATTGTTAATTTTCATTAAATAAATAATAATAATAAATAAATGTTTATTTAGGTAAGGTACATACATACAAGAAATTTTTACAAAGATTGGTGGACTTATAGATAGAGCTAGTACATACAATGCCTAAAGCCACTATTACGCAAAGCGTTTCGGGCATTGAACAATTGAACAATTCGTGCTCAAGTTTGTAATATTAACATGTATAAATAATTTTTACTTATACAAAATACATTTGTAATATGATATGCGCTCAGTCACAAACTTTGTTGTACATATAGAAATAGCTGTCAAATAAATAAGTAATTAAGAGCCTTAGAGAATATATGATAAGCTGGAGGCGCCGGTGAGGACAGATTGAATTGAAATTGAAATAAGTTTATTGAGGTAAAATACACACAAAGGGATGAGGTAGCTCAAGCTATTCTCACCCCGTTCAGTACATAGTGTTAATACATACATAGAGACACATCACAAGCAATAAACATATTACCAGAGGACAGATGTTTTAGGCTTGTTCTTCCTGGCACAGTAGAAGGTAAACACATCTCCAGTTCCTCGGCGCTAGTGACAAACTCTTGTATCGTCCACTAAATCAACAACGAGAAGAGACTCTTGCATTTCTTAGTGTCAATTTCAAGAACGGAAGCTTCTGTTGCATACAGTAATAGCAACCAGCATCAAAGAGGTAATGATTGTAATGTAGATATATTTGTGAACGTTCTGCGGGCCTTATTATGGCAGTGGCGTTTTTAAGAGATGTCGGAGTAACAACATATTTTGGCATTGGAAATTTTATATAAGATAAGATGTTTATGCAGGTAAAGGTACACATATTGAAACATGAGTTGCAAACAATGTGGGATTTCTAGAGAGAGGTAGTACATGCCTGAAGCCACAAATACACGCAGCGTTTCGGGCATTGTTTCCGGTTTTGGGCAAAATATATTAATGTTATATATTTATATATAATATATATTATATAATTATATATAACATTAATATGTATACGCGTCTGTACGGACATATGGTCTAAGTGATGATTCAGATGGTGATTCAACATGTAGACGTTTTGGGGGTATACAAAATCTCAAACCAAAAGCACTTCATGTTACACATTACATTGCATCAGATTGATGAAGAAAATGACCTTCGAATCAAACTCCACCACTCGCTGAAAGTTTTACAACAGGTGAGAGCAGTGAACTGTAGTGATTCAATTGTATAAATCTCTGGTGGGCCCCCATTTGGATTACAGTATTCAAGCATGAAGGGACCATGCTTGGGACCTGGAGGGCCAGATCCTAAATCTACACCAACCTGTCCTCTTACAAATTACGTCTGAATTTGGCCGTTTGCCCATATAGCTGAAAATGGACGTAATTTTAAAATTAAAAATAATTGAAAATTAATTTTTAAATTTTTTTCCCAAAACAGCAAGTTAAGGGTCCTCCTGTAGGTTAAAAGGGCAAGAAGTTCTCCTAAGGTTTCAAAACATCATGAAAACCGCTATTTGAAAGTTTCCTCTCCTAACCTAACCGAGTAAGTCGGAGGACTCAAACAGAAAATGGAACAGTACATCAATTTCGTGAGCCAATTTCAATTAAAATTACGTCTATTTTTGGCCATAGCGCACATACGAGCGAAAAGCGACATTAATTTAAGAAAATGCACCAACTAGATAGTTGGTGCCACAGTTGTACAAAGATAGGCAGATCAGTGATGTATGTGCTGAAAACTGTTGTGCTACCAGTAGACCTCTTCATAAATACTGTACTTTGATTGGTGTGGCTTGTATTTTCTGGCCCAGTCATTTGGACTGCTCGGTACAGCAACAGTCTCGTTTCTTGCAGGTCAGCTTTCAATCCCCTATGGTCCAAGTGGCTAGGAACCATTCCTTCACCCTGTCCTCATAGCCCAGCTCCTGGTCCTCATACCCTTGCAAGTGCTTTCTCCTGATAATTACCTTACCTTGCTTTGTATTTTCTGTAACATAAATATAAATTAAAATTTAATTACTGTATTTTTATTGAAAGAATATAAATTATTTTATTAGTACTAAACGTTAATATGTTGCTCTATTAATTAACATCTAACCTGGATTTAACCTGAGTTTGGCTTGGCATTAATTTTATCAAGATTCGCTAGTTTATTAATAATTGTTACTCCTTTTATTTTCTGTTTTTTTTTATTGTAATTACAGTAACATACAGTATTTTTTTTAAATAGCTATTGAACATTCATAATAGGCTACATATTATTTATATGCAATTTGTTTCCAGCAAAAACTATACCAAAACTATCTGAAACTTTAGGTTTCTCATAAATTTGATTAAAAGTGTGTATGAGTTTTAAATATGTTGATTTAAATTAAACCCAGTCCCATGATAATTGGCTGAAGGTTTCAGGAATTTCTCTCTCATCCTGGCATTTATATCCAACACCTTTCCCTAATAAAATGAAATTTTATTATAAAAGAGTTAGCCAGTTTTTACATACAGTATTGCATTTTGTATGTGTTTGCTTTTCATATATATATATTTATATTATTTCCTAATTGGTATTAAACAAAAATGTCATGAGATTCTAGTCAGAGCTGGCTAACTCATTTTAATATTTCAGATGGATAACAAAGATGGGCATCATCCAAACTGGAAAGCTTTGGCCACAGCCCATATCAAGTGGAAAGTATTTATTCAAGCAAAGCCGGAACCACTATTTGAGCAAATTGAGGAGGAAAGGAAGAAATTTAGCACATCACTTAATGGGGAAGGTGCCAAGAAGTTTTATGAGGAATTATTGGATGAACGTTACCAACCCAGCACTAGTGCTCATAAAGAACGGTCGGAAGAGGAAAATTGTGAAAGAACATTTGAATGTTATGATCTTGAAGAGGTTGAGGACCAAAAAGAGTACAGTGGAAAAAGGGAATGTGCTCAATCTATACATAAGGCCATGGCACTTGCTCAGAATAATGACGTGGCTGGTCTAAGAAAACTGCTGACGAGTGGTTTTAATGTTAATGTGAAAGATGAGTATGGATGGTCACTGTTGATGGTCGCTGCGTGTGCTGGTGCTAAAGACACGGTGCAAGTATTACTTGATCACAAAGCAAGAATGGGGGCAAGAGATAGTAAAGGTAACACGGCCATATATTTAGCAACTATGAAGGGACACAAAAAGATTGTTGAGATGTTGATAAAATCCAGCAAAAAGAAAAGTAACTCGCAGTCAGATGAAGAAATGAGAGTTTCTCATCCAAAGAGAGAACCTCAAACTAAGGGGTTCTTCTGTGGTGTTTGCCAAAGAACCATTAAGGAAAGTTCACATCTCCAGCACGAGACCTCCATTGTTCATCAGTTTAAGTTGGGGACAGGTGCAAATAAAACTATTTATGGTATTCCTCCCAGCAATAAAGGCTACCAACTCCTTGTTAATCAAGGTTGGGATACAGAGAAGGGTCTTGGTCCACACAGGTCTGGTGCCAAGTTTCCCATTAAGACTGTGTTGAAGAGAGATAGAGAAGGTTTGGGAAATAGTGCCAAAGATACTCCAAGAGTGACCCACTTTGGTCCAGCTGATACAGAGGCAGTTAAGAGAGTTTGTAAAGCGAGTGAACGCATAGAGCGAAAAAGTACACTTAGCAAGAGGGAGGCCAAAATGCAAAAAACAAGAGATGTAAAAAAAGAAATAGAAATAAGACGAATGTTAAATGAACCAGATTATTGACATTGCCTCTCCCTGTGTATATAATACAGTAGTTGAAGATGCAGACTGAGGACTCAGGATCGGTAAATATATTTTGTGTGTATGTGGTTTAGGATATTACCTTGTGTGTCCCAGTCACTATCTGTGATTACCTTATGTGCTGCAGTTGTCATGAGATCTTTTTTTGGATTTGTTTTGTGAGCGACTGTATTTTGTCATATACACCACTATGTAGGACTTTCAATTAGCAGAATTATTTAAGGAGTTAAGATAAGCATTCTCAGTAATTGTTATTCAATTTTCATCTCTTTATCTTATCCTCAAAGATCTAGTACCAATTGCAAATTATATATTTTACATAATATGGCTATCTTGGTATACAGTATATGGAAACTTTCCTTTTAAGACTGCTCATAGCCCAGTCGATAGACCGTTGGCCTCACACGCATGGGGTCAATGGTTCGAGACCCATATAGCCCAGGTGAATGGAAAGCTATCCCTTAATTAGAAGTTATTGTAATTATTCATGAATGAAGCAAATCACACTGTTAGGTAACATTAGATTTTGAAACTGTATATTGGTCAATCTGACTCCTTTGTTGAGTAACATTTTTTGCCTTTCTGCTCTTATATTGCCATCCTGAACAGTATCTTGGAACCCTATACTGTACTAGTCTGTATCAATAGACAGTGTTATATAGCCATATTGCCTTAGCACTTTCTATTGATTACTTGTAACTAGCTTTACAACAAATCATTTAGCAGTTGTAGGAACCAAAGTTCGTTCTAAAATTTACAAAGATAAGACATATGATTACTATATATATTAAGAATTATACAATGTATGTTGCTTAGGATTATAATGATAAAATTTATATACTGTTATTAAAGCTTGCAGAGAGGCATTGCACTTAAGAGAGGCATTAGTCCTGTAATGGTTTCCATTTCCCATAGTTAAGGTGCCTCTAGTCCTACTCACTTCCCCTATGATGCAACACCCCCTCCCCCCCTTCCCCACCCCCAACAATTATTTAACTCCCTGGTACTTGTTTACTGCTAGGTGAACAAAAGCATTTGAAAGAAAATATTGTCCAAATGTTTTTGCCCTCCTGTGGGAATTGAACCCAGAACATTTTGGCTGTGGTTAGGCGTCATGGTCCTATGACGCCCAAATGTGTCATATGACCATGATTACAGCACTGAGGCAATACTATTGCACTAACACTAGTAATGAAGCACAGTATCGCATTAGGCCAAATGTATTAAGGGATGATGAGGGAGGTACCAAATAATATATACATGGATGATACTGGAAGGCCAGGTCATAAATTTGCATGGTAACATAACATACTGGAGTGACAGATATGAAAGGAAATTTATAATACAGCCAGTGAAGAGTAGAGGTGCCATAGGCACAATCAGTGAATGCTGAACATCAGAGGTCCACAGTTGTTTGTCCTCCCAGCAAATACAAGAAATGTTGCCAGAACAAAAGGGAAAATCCCAAAGAAAAACTGGACAGTTTTCTGCAAGAAGTGCTGAACCAACCAGACTGCAGTGGATATGTGGGCCTGTGGGCCGCTCCAAGCAACAGTCTGTTGGACCATGTTCTCACAAGTCAGGCCTGGTTCCAGGTCGGGCTCAGGGAGTAGAAGAACTTTCAGAACCTCGTCCAGGTACAATCCAGGTAGATATGTAATTTCCTAAGGGGTGGGGACAGGATGAAAGCTACTGGAACCATGAGGGGACTTAATTAAAGATCATTTCAACACCATCACGGTTCAGTTGGTAGTGCACGTGCATGAGGAGTTCAGGGATGCAGGTTCTATTCAATTTTGCAGCTTCAGTATTTTCTCATTAGAGATCTGATTGTTGCCACCTGAGGTGGCTAGTTTATTGTGCACCCCATACTCATCCTGTGAGCGGTAGCAGAAAAAAAAGATTAGAGGGCACGAAAGGTCTTTATCAGACCTCAACGGAGATTATTACATTAACAGTTTCATCTATCCTTCACACCTTATAATTATAATGTTGGCTAGTTACAGAGAATGTTCCATTTCAATAGCTATGTATTTACAGTTAATCATGGTACATTAATGGTAGATCTCGTCGCTAATATATATTACAGGGTCATAGGGAGAGCTGCTGTTTGTTATTATTAGTCATAAAAATAGAATCCCTGGTTAACTTTAAGTGAAATTATTTTTATAACTTGATAATCTCCTCAAAAGAAGTGTGCTGTAAGAGATAGGACATATCAAATAAGTTATAAATGTAATACTGTATGTAAATTGAATGGTTACTGTATCTTGTTTGTTTAACTATGAAGTTAAATAAAGAAAGATAAACAGAATAGAACTATCAATATGTCTTTATTTTTTCACTTATTGGTAAAAGGATGACATGAAATTTCTGCCATAATCTGGACTTTTAAATCACTTTGCATTTTTTCTCACTTGGATCGAGAGTATGGTAATCTTTTGTAAATGACATGTATTTTTAGGCTAAGGAAAGTCATGAAACTTTTCGCATTTTAACTCTTTACTGTCATTCTTTTTTTTTTAGCTTAACACCATGACCAAGTCTCCAGAAATGCTGCAAAAGTACTTGGAGGAGGTGGAAGCAGCTGCCGAAGAGGTAATCTGTGACCGACAAGAGATTATCACTCTTGATCGTCGACGTAACACCAATAGGGAGGCGCTGCGGCAGCTACGAAACAATAATTTAACTGGCCACAGCCTTACTAGCAAGACGTGGATCTGCGTCGGCAATATGTTTATAAGGATGCCAAAGAATCAAGTAACTGAAAATATAGAGAAAGGTAGGCACATCTTTCCTATACCCTGTATGGTTATTATGCTTAAATAACTTTGCAATAGTGAAATTGCAACACTTGGTTCTTAGAGCATCCATGCTTCTGTCTTATTTTTAGGTCCTTATTTTGACACTTTTCGTCCAAAATTTTATTTTCCTTAAACTTATCAAGTGTGATTTATAAATTGTTAAATCATCTTGTTTAAGGTTGCAAGATGAACAAGTGGAAATTCCTGAAATTAAACATTTGTTTTATATTTCCCTTGTGGTTTCTATCAATTTAATTCTCAGTCCAAGGTACTGGTAACTCCTCTATCTGTCATCACTATTGCTCTTATTTACCAGTTTAGCTCCTAATTCATACTGTTTTCCATCCAAATTTTGTATTTTCTTCAAAATCTCACCAAATGCTGTTTTATAAATGCTGATTGTTGCTGCAATGTTTGAAAGAGGATATTTCTGGGGGAGGGGGGGGGGGGTATTTCTGCCCCCCCCCCCCCCCCCCCCCCCCTTGAGGCTCCCTGAAGCTGTTATGACCGATATTGTACCACTGCTCGGTCGCATTAGCTGCACAGTTCTATCGGCCTACCAGGGACCAGAGCCAGGGCCCCCTCCTCACAAAGCCACAGGGACATTTATGTATGTATATGTCACCACTAGGGAAGGGAACAATGACATTTATGTATGTATTTGTCACCACTAGGGAAGGGAACAATGACATGTATATATGTATTTATATCAACCACTTTCTGGTTGCTTCTGGGAAAGCAACCAGAAAGTCAGTGAGACAAAACAGACCACTGCTGGACTGGACAGAAATGGTTGGGCACATTTCCTGTCACCTAATGCCACTGTTCACCTAGCAGTAATTAGTTAGGCAGTAGTTGTAAGCTTGTATCCTGTGGAGGGTCAGTAGTTCGACCTTGAGGGGGACCTTGATACACTCCTGAAATATAAATAAATATATATATATATATATATATATATATATATATATATATATATATATATATATATATATATATATATATATATATATAATTATATTTATTTATTTATTTTCACAGACTTCCTATTCCAGACAAAACAAATTAATTCATTCTGTAATGATAATTAATTGTAAAGTGCTGCCTTGGATAACTGGCAAAGAGTGGCAGTGCTTGCTTATCAGTGATCCTATATACGATAGTGTGAATAATAAAATGAATAGATAAGTGGTAAATATTTTTGTTTAATATTTGTAATCTTCTTTCATTATAGTTATCTTTTTTGTATCTATTGTCTGACGCCTCCCCGCCCCAGGAAAGTGGAAAACTGGGTATTGATAATGTGTGTAGTTGTAACCTTTGTACACTATAATGCTTTCCATTCTGTTCTAGGCAGATTCGTTCCCACCTTTATCTTATTAAAGGTGGGAAATGGGAATAATGATTTTGTACAGTACACATCTGTTTATGAAGAATACATGCATACATAAGAATACATATGCATAACACCTAGTGTTATGCAAGTTAGTATTCACTCCATGTCACTGGTTTACTTAAATTGCTTAAATACTACAAATTACACCTGTATTTAACTTGTTTTATAGCAGAAAACGGTAAGTTAAAATATTTTAATTTCCTGTTAAACCTAATGGTGAATTTTCTTCTTTCCCTTTCTTAAGAACAAAAGCAACTGGATACAGAAATCAACAACTTGCGTAATGGACTCTGCAGCAAAGTCAACTACCTGAATGACTTGGAGCACAAGCAAAACGTAATCGGAACAAACCTAAAAGCTTTGTCTCCTGAAGACTGGAAAGCTGTGAAACAGGTCCTGGGCCAGTGAAGTAATAAAATTTCTCTGTGAATTACAGTACTGTACTGTATATTCAGTAAAAAAAAAAATTACAATTGTAATCTTAGATCCATCCATTGTGAACTAATAGTCTGTTATTGGATCTAAACCAGTAGCTTTAGAGCCAATAGAGGGCCATTCCCAACCTTTTTGGGGGATGGCCCTATTTTCTAATACTCTACTCAAAATACACCCAAGGGGGTCGTGACTCACTGGTTATGAACTGCTGTTCTAAACAGTACTGTACTACAAGCACATTTATGCTCCAGATGTTAAGGCTCACCACAACATCCCTCCAGTACTTGTTAGCAAGGAAGCGACCACGTATACTTCACTGTAGATACATTGTCAACAGTCTATACCATTTAGGTGTGGATTTTAGTTTTTGTTTTTTTATTGAAGTGGTTCTGAAATGGCAGTAGCAATACCTAACACATTTTCATTGTTAAAATTTTAGAATGAGCAATAAAATATTTGTTCATAAATTGTGTTTATTTACGTGCAGTAATTAAAATACTTTTGAGTAAATTATGAAAGTTTTCTGTATTTTGTAGTTTAAATTTTGATATTCATGTACTGTACAAAACTAAAATATTGAGACAATCTTTCCAGTTTGTATAAAAGCAAATCGGAATTGACTAGAGGAGTTTGAGCAAAAGTTGCGAGAAGAGCAACTCTGGAAAGGAGGACACTTATGCCCAGACGATTAGCCCTAATGAAGTAGTGAATACTGTAGTACAGTGGTCTATATTCTCGGCTCACAGCCGAGGGACCTCTCCCCCCCTCCCGGATAGAAGAGAAAGAGTTGGGCACTGTCACGTATGATTGTTACGTAATTTGGTTGATTTAGAAACAAGGTTTAGTGGTTATTTATGTTTATTTAGTAGTCTTGGTTACACAGTCAGGTTGTTAGCAGTGTTGTAGAAATTAAGACGAAGCCTGGAGCAGAGAGCTGAGTGAGGCTGGTGTAGAGGAGCTCGATGCAGGACAAGAACGTGGCAGCTCGACGCGAGACGAGCGTGGAGGCTCGACGCGGGACGAGAGCGTGTAGGCTCGACGCGGCTGTCTGCTCTATGTCAAAGCTGAAGCGTCTTGGAGTCAGTTGGAACTGGACATGTCAAGTGCTACATTCTTGAGGTTGAAGGTGTGCGGTAACTATCCAGTGTGTGTACTGAACCACTGTTGAAATTATAATGGTGATTATTTGATTAATTGATTGATGAAAATTAAGCCACCCAAGAGGTGGCATGGACATGAATAGCCCTTAAGTGGTAGATATTTTTGGAGTGAATGTATACTGTGTGCTAAGGTCACATTGAAATCGTGTCCTTAATATATGGCTGCTATCACACGGGAGGATGCAGCTTGATAGTATTTATGAGGATGTTCAAAAGCTGAACACTTTTTTTTACCAGAAGAGTGGCAGTGATGATGGCTTCGGAGTGGTTAGAGCAAGATTAAAGGAATCTTAAAGCTCTTTCAATGTTGTTGGTTGCTTCACATTACAGGAGATAGTGGAGTAGTGGCCTGTCTGTGATTGTTTGGCAGAAGATGCATTCCCAATCTCTGGGTTCACCAGTTTTCCAGTTGCATCTGTAACCTAGACGTAATCTGTATAACCGAACTGCTATTTCCCTATGGATTCCATTCGTGATATTTAGCCTGTCTAACTTGGTGGCATGAAGATACCATATTGCAGAGGGCGAACCTTCTACTACTCTGTTGTAGATGGGCTTTGTTAAGGTGTGCTAGTTTTTTGACGACTCTAGGCTGGGTTGGATTGTTTTGTGGATTGCTGGATGACGAGTTGCCAATTTAGCAGTTTCATCGGCTTTCTAATTTAATGGGATTCAAACGTGTGATGAGATCAAGTTTAGGGTTATGTTGAGTCCTTTTCCTTTAGCTGCTGCTCCTAGATACAAAATGGTGATAATTATTTCCACGTTGTCTTTCCACTGCTATTTTCCTAATATTTGAGGTGCAGCTTTTGAGTCTGTGTGTATGATTGAGCAGTCATCGGGAAGACAAACCCTTCATACAAACTGCACCTACTATCAAGAAAAAGTATGATTGCATTTTGAGTGTGTTGTGCAAATCACAAATGAGAATGCCTGTTGTATGGCAAACAGCTCAGTTTGGGTTGATGATACTGATCCTCCCAGTTTGCTGTCCGTTCAAATAACAGGACCAGCCCTCTCATATTGTGTCCACCAATCCTCTGAAGATGTGGGTGGCTCCTACTACTGCAATGATGATCATTTGCTTTTCTATAATGCGCCTTAAGACTGTTGGATCATAGGCAGCCTTTTTCACCAGAAGACTTTCTATTATTATTTTGAAGGTAGGCTCCTCCCAGTGGGGAACAAGTGTAATTTGGGTGTGGATGATCACCTCTACCATGCTTTTTAATTGTAGGACTTCTCCCGCTCTGGCAGCCTAAGAGTTTCCATTGTTTTGGCCAAGTCCAACCACCAAGGACTATTGTACTAGGACTGGATCAGGGGAACAATTCTCTTACTAATAATTGTAGCTATTCTTTGAGATATTATTTCTTGAAGAGAGGACAAACCTGTTTCCAGTCTTAAGAGTTTCAAGCATGGTCCACATAGGGGCTCCCAGGGCAGCTTTCATAGCATTGTTTTGTGCTACTTCAAGCTTTTTTCCACTGTTGTTGTGATGGGCTTGAGTGCAGGTGCTGCATAGTCGATCACTGAGCCTGTATATAACATGTGTGAAGGACTTGTAGATTGGCTCTTCCAGAGAGGGAGGTTAGCGACCTGAGGATTGCTGTTCAGGCCACAGTGATGATTAATCGGTTTTCGATTGCTTGTGTAATCGGACCGCACCTCACCTAATAGGTTGGAAGTAGTGTTACGTGTAATTAGTGAAGAAATATTAGTGGATTACATATATTTAACAAACTCGGCTCAGTAGGCTAATGAGAGTTTGGAGTGAGTATATTATTGACATAATGTTATGTCAATAATATTATTATTGACATATTCGCTACAGCACATTTCCTTTACTCTTGATGAGTCCGTTCTTCTAGCAGTAAATATGCACCCAGGAGTTAGGCAACTGTTATGAGTTGCATCCGGGTAAGGTCAGTAGTTTACCTATAATGAACATCAGAGGTTTACAGTTGTTCAGTATCCTCCCAACATGTGTAAGAAATATTGCCAGAACAAAAGTTTCAAGGAAAAACTGGAGTTTTCTGCATGAAGTGTTAGATCAACTATGCTGTAGTGGATGTGTGGGCCTGTAGGCTGCTCCAAGTATAGTAACAGCCAAGCTCTCAAAAGTCAGGGCTGGGCTTGGGGAGCTGAACTCCCAGTACCTTATCCGGGTGCAATCCAGGGCCTCGGTAAGCTCAAGTACTGTACAGGCTTTCACTCCTTGACAATGGGAATTATGAAGAAATAGTTCTTAAGGGCTTCATAGTGTGCTAGATAGGAGATGCTGATGTGATTAGAGTGAATCATTCAAGTGTGTGAGTGGTGGAAATAATGAATTAGAGTTGCATTTATGGTGTTTGGAAGATAGAGTAAGGAATGAAAATGTTATGGAGAAATGTGTTATACAATAGCCATAGTACATCATAAGATTGAGATGTATTGGTAATATTGAATGAATGTACGAAATAAGAATGAGTGGTGTATTTTCAAATGAATTTGAGAGTAGTAGATGGATGGACAGGGGTTGGAGTTAAGTGATTGTCTTAACCTCTATACAGCAAGTGGAAATAGGTCTAGATGGACTCAGTTGAAGTGTTTACAAAATATATTGTGACAAATCCCAGGAATCACTTTACACCAAGCAATACTGTACGAAGAGGTGGGGGTACTGCTGTGGATGTCTTCCAGGAGTGTGATGCTGACCAATATGGAAGATATGGCAAGTGGATGAATGCTTTTTAGTATCTTTAACCTTATTTCACTACATTGCTGACTCATCTTATACTGACTTCTGCCTCCCCACCTGTGTTCTGATCCAGATTCCTAGGTACTGCACATGATCCAGCATTTTAAGTACTGTTCAATTGGCTGATGAATATATTTGGCTTCACATATTGTATTGTAGATATAGAGAAGTAATATTCTGTGTAAACCACTTGGTCAAACGCTTTCAAGTGTTAAATATCTTCTGACTCTAGCATTTGGCCATAGATCTTTATTTCAACATGCAATTAAAAAATATTTAGATACTATATCTTAATTATATGCTCAAAAGTATTTTAAATTAATTTTTCCTCTTGACAAAATAGAAAGCTATATGAAAAGTATGAAAAAATTATAGTACAGTACAGCACAAATTTCTTTCCGTTGCATTTTTTTTTTTTTGACATGTTGTTGTTGTCAAACAGATTTTGCTGATGCTGGAGGTTGCAGGTAGTTATCCCTTATATTTATGCTAAGGGGATTTTTGTTTTTCAAACGTTTGAAGTTGTACTTGATTATTCTTTTAGTTGACTTTAACCACTGCACTGTGCAAAACGCCTTTGAGATCGGAGTTGTGCTATTATTTTTAATTAGGCTATATTTTAATGTTTTCATTACTCTTCATGTTTTGAAATGGAAATAGTCGAGTTTGAAAACATTTTGACATTAACTTTACCAGAATATTTATAAAAACAATAAAATTATGTTCTTGGATTGCACCAAGAAGTTTTTGCCGAAACCAGGTACGCAGTGCAGTGGTTAAAAATGCTAACATATAATTGTGGTGGGAATATGTAAAGAAATTATCAAAATCAGTAATTTAATTATAACCAGTCTGTACAACAGTAGTGACAACGGCTCTCTTATGTATTACACAAGAAACTCAAGATTCAGGTAAGCATCACATATGTACAAGTTTTGCCTTTTTTTTTAATGTGTTCTTATTTTACAGTACAATTGCAAAACTCCATGCTTTTGATAATGGCTATAACTTAATTTACAGTCATACATACACATAATGGTCTAACACAAGGAATAGCTTATTCAATAACACACTCGGCTCCCACTGCCTTAAAGGCCTCCAGCAGCTGCTCGGCCTCGTCCTTGGGAATATCTGCCTTCACCACACACGGACAGCTTTCCACAAACTTCTTAGCCTGTTGCACAAAAGAATATTTTGTAGTGTTTTTCTTAACCACAGTGGTGACATTTATTGAATTTCTATACAGTACTGTATTTTATCTTTTTATAATTATAAGTATGAAGTACAGATAAATGTACTACACATGCTTACTAAAATGCTTCATTGCCTGTTGTAAGGGTTAAAAATTAGAAAATACGTTAAAATATGCATAAAAAGATACGTAGCTTATTTGTAGAGAAAATATATGGGAAACAAAACTTAAATTACTTAACCATTTTTATGAACTTTTATCAAACTAAAAAAAGTAGTTTACATTCTATACTTATAAATTGACCTAAATAAATATGTACTGTATAAACCCGCTAATCCGAAATACACGAGAACGACCCCAGCCGGATTAGCACGTTTTCCGGATTAATGTACAGTACTTTTTCACCAAGGGAGTTCAAAAGTGGCCACTTCCAAAAATGTTTATACAGACAGCTACTTGGTTTGCCAACTTAAATTATCTAAAGGCAGAGAGGAAGACAGTGAAGGAAAGAGGTAGCGAGGGATGTGTTATGAAGTCAGTGTGTTAATTCACTGACAAAGCACCGACCAAAGCCTCCCGCCTACATAAATTTTAATATCTTGACTTTATGCCATTATATCTTGATTCTCGTGTTAAGTGTTCAGTATTACGATACATTAATAATCATTAACATGTTTTATTGTGTCTTGTTTATTAAACAAATACATTTTTACTTATGAATTATGGACAGTTGACCTACATGACCAGCAGAGCAGAGTACAGTATATGGGGGGTGGGGGGGGACCGGGCTGACTCTGATAAGCTTATCGCACTCGACCCCATTAGCCAGATTTGTTTCTTAAATTTTGGATGTATATCCTTTATTTTTGGTTACAGATTTTGTTTAGTAATATTAAGATAATAAAAATTTATAAAAATACATCTCTGGCTGGCAATCTACTGCCACCTACAGCAGGATCTCCTGGGGAGGGAGGGAGGGAGTGAATGTGGGTGGGACAGAGGAAGTGAGCAGCAGTGAGGGTGACACTCTCCCTTCCTGGTGGTGGTGGACAACGAGTGTTAGGCCGCTGATCCGGCCAAATATCCACTAATCTGTCTTCCATGGACATTTTTGCCGGATTAGAACGTTTTCTGGATTAGCGGGTTTCTACAGTACTGTACAGGGCATTCTTGTTACACGAACATTTGTCCATATGAACATTCCTTTAAATTCCCCCACCATGCATCAAATCACTAACCAATCCTTCCACAGCAACCCCAGTATCACAAACAGCATGCTAAAACATCCCTACAGCAGCAATGTGGTGTATTACACAAATATGTCTGCACAGCCCACTACAGAAGGTAGAGTATGGTCAAATCATGCACACAGCTGCCCAGGAAGTAGTTGAGGTGGGTGGGAGACTTGAGGGGAGTGACCGGATGTATGTGGATTGTAGGTTGGGAGGCGGGGATGTGAGAAAGCTAGCAACTTGCTTTGTCAAGTCAGCCAGTAGTGAGCAGCCAGTCAGCCTCTTAGGAGTTTGCCGGGAGCAAGTGGGTTGGTGGGCATGGGTACTGGGTATCACCAGTTTTTATGAGACTGATGTTTCCGAGAAGATGACAATTGTTAAGAGTGGCAGCTCTTGTGTCCTCAATGATCCACAAACTCACATAATTTGTACAAGACTAGATTGTGTTTACTCTGTTGGTGTGGGTAGGCTCCATGAGCTAGTGATAGGAGAAGGGTGGGCAGGCGTTTACTCCAGAAACAAATTACAAAATGGGCAACTTGCCACTACAGTCCATTTGAATTTATTTATTCATGTAATTAGACCACTGCACTCCTTAAAAACAGCTAACTTTGACAAACAGGATTACTCCATCATTCAAGGTAAATAATATGCTGTGCATTTTATATGTCCCAAAATATTAGTTTTGTGATTTTAATGGTCAGGGAATGCATCCCCCCCTATATATTTACTTTGCACATATGGAAAATCTCATTTATTTGCATTCTGAACACATCCTCAAAATGTAACTCATTCGTTCTAAGAGGACTGCCTGTAAATGACAGTCATTTAAAACAAAATACATATTCAAAAAAATGCAATCACACTTACTTGTACAAGATTAAATCCTTCTAGACGTGCCTTCACTTCCTTAATGAGAGATACTTTCTTGGATTCATCATACTTATTCAACTTGAGAGTAAAACTGGTCTGGACTTTCACTGGAGCAGCCTCCTCCTCCTCTTCCTATTAAATAAGCTTTATTAATGAAACCATACTTCACACACCTGAAAATTCCATATAATAACCCCTAAACAATAACTCTGAAAAATCAGCCTTAAACTCGCAGAAGCAGCAAATACAGTAGTCAATGAATACTTCCACAAGACTTGAATGCTACACAACTACATACATTACTGTACCTCAACTGTGTCCCCAAAGATACACATAGTGTGTGACATGGTAACTTCACCCATCCTTGAGGAACAACAACATTTTAACCCCACTGCTGCATAATTAAATTTGTAATCGCAAATCATTTTGAAAATTTTTTTTTATTAAGAGCTTGAACTTTGTCAGAAGCGAGTTGTCTGTATAGCATATTCCACTAATAAATTGGGAATGCAGCATAGAATTGTTTTGGCCACTTTCGAGGACAGGTTGCAACCAGAAAGAACTTGACCATTATTTGCCAGTACTGTAATTAAATATTGCTTTGATCTTTTCAATAAAATAGAAAATTCCCCGTCAGTGGTCATTTACATCCAGATTCAACTCTCAGCTTGAGATGGCTTCAGCTCTTTGGATATAACAATGCTTCAAAATAGTAATCCAATTGTTATAGAACTAAATACAATACTATAGTCCAACTTCGCAATAAAATGGTTAAGTACGCTAGTACACTCTGGCTTCCTGTTCCCCAACAATGAATTATTATTAATACTCTAAACAATTAGAGTTATTAATTAATGTTTAAAGCAACATTAACAATTTTACAAAGAATTTCACTGCTAGTCGAGCATATCATAAAAGTGAAGCAATCACATCTTGCCTGCACTAGGAAACGAGGAGTGGAAATAATTAAACTACTTTGACGGGGAAGAAAACAGAGGCACAAGGAATATAAAGGTGTGGATTACTTGAAAGGATAATGTGAACATGAAGTAGACATGCCAATAAGCCCTGCAGTAATATTTTTTAAGGAAAGCGCCACGAGTGTGAGAGTGGGTTACACCCATGCTTCTGCCAGAGTAATGCATCCACGGGTAACTGTTGCTAAATAAATGTACCTATATTAGCTAATTTGTTATGAGGCTTCTGTCCCGAAAGTACTGTGATCAAGCAGACAAGTTGTCTTCAATCAGCACCCCGGTGGAAGCCGAGCGGACAGCACGCTGGACTTGTGATCCTGTGGTCCTGGGTTCGATCCCGTGTGCCGGCGAGAAACAATGAGCAGAGTTTCTTTCACCCTATGCTCCTGTTACCTAGCAGTAAAATAGGTACCTGGGTGTTAGTCAGCTGTCACGGGCTGCTTCCTGGGGGTGGAGGCCTGGTCGAGGACTGGGCCGCGGGGACACTAAAGCCCCGAAATCATCTCAAGATAACCTAACCCCTCATTGGCTACATGCAAGAATTCATTCACCATACTCTCTTAAATGGACTAAGTTATTGATATCCCTGCATCTTTTCCCCGCCCCTTTTTATGTGAATACTGTTCAAAGCATAAGATAATTAAAATTCAGAATTTATAAAACTCATATCACTTATTACCAAATAGCTGAAAATGTATAGTTGGTATCACTGTTGGGGGGTTAAATGCATGTCCCACAAACTGTGCATGAATACCATGCAGTGCTTAATTTGCACATAAATGCTTTGCACAGTTATCCATGCAAGGAAATTAGACAAAAACAAATTTACCTCAGCTTCCTGGTTATAAGGCAAAAAAAAAAACTGTCATTAGCTAGTAAATATTTCACATACAATAATTCAAGACCATTTACACTTTGATATAACTTTGCAAACACACAAATGACATTTAAAATAAAAAATTAAAAATGTTAAGACAGCTTAATCCAGTTTACAACAAATTATTTCAACAGTATGAAGAAAATTCTCACTGGAAATCTTGATTATGTCTTAAATTATTACTGCATTGCATGCTTCTGGTGGTAATATGTTAATACATTCAGCCTAACCTGAGCAGCAGCAGCTGGTGCCATCATCCCTGCCCCATATGCCATCATTGGTGCATCAGGAATATTCAGTGTCTTCTTAAGCAGTTCATTAAGATCTGCCACCTCGATCAACGTCAGCTGAGAGATTTGGGAAACGATGTTTGCTATCTTCTCTGGATAAACCTGAAAATACCATTCACTGTCATTAGAATCAAATTCACAAATATGGTGGAACAGGTTTCATTGGTCCTGCTTTCAAATTAAGTTATTAGGATGTGCTACCTCACAATGTTACACTATACTGTTTCTTTTCCCAATATATTCCACCAATATATATATATGCAGTACAGTATATGGAATATAGGGATGCTCTATATCCCTTTCAGGGGCCAGGAGAGTGATTTCTCAACCTTCTTCAAACACACTCAAACTTTTTGTGCATAATCTACATGATAAATGCTCCAACTTTTAATAAGGGTTTAATATCATAACATGAACAGGAAAAAAATTATGTTTAAAAGTTGAAAATTTCACACTTTCCAATTAAGCTGATAAATCAAATATTTCACTATTTTTTGTATTTTATTCAATATGGGCTCAGAATGGAATTTAATGTTCATTTTCCTCAATACAAAATTTTGTTTGAGCATACATAATTGAAGTGTAAAATCAATATACTGTACTTATATACAGTAATTTTCCAAACCAAAAAATAAAAATTACAGTCAAAACTACATGGGTGCCCACAATGAAGATATCTAATTAAATAAGTATGTTGTGATGTACTGTTGTACTATAACTCACTAGAACATTATTTACATATTTAAATGCAAGAATGCATCAGACCTTTGGTGCTCCTTCAGGTGTTGGTTCTGCCAGAGCTTCAGCACTCATGAACCGACTCTGCTTTTTCAAGCCAAGTGCTGCTGCCTGCCGCCTCCACACGCTGTGTCTGTTGGCAAGACACGGTAAACAATTTTTAAGGCAAGGTAAATTTAAAATTAACACAATTTACAGTTATAATGTCCAAATTGATCCAATATTTCACTTTCTTATGATATGTAAACATTTATTCACGTGATGTGATGCATAGACAAGCTAATTAAGCATAAATGGAATGGCTTCCAAGTATATATTTACCAAAAGACGGCAACCCAAGCCTGGAAGACTATTGAGCACCATGTCCCAGAATATTAAAAAATGTCCAAATATTCTGAATGACAGTAAGAGAGCAAAAAGACATAAGACCGGTAATGGTATAAGCCATAAAGGATTTTATTGAACATATGACTTCAAGAAACATTGAGAAACCAAAATTTGAATCGTTCTTTAAAGTGGGACAAAGCAATATGTAGTGACAGTCTGTGTGTTCCATTAAGTGGTGACGAGTTACATGTATTTAGCCAACCCATAACTTAGGAAGGATTTTAAAATCCATTGGCAAAATGTTTTGGGTAAGAAGTGAAGGTAATCCTTGTTTCCAGAGTCGCAGAATGGTCCCAAAGCACTAAATGTAAGATGCCAAAGGGATTTAAACTTTTACCCAGCTTAGGGCAGCCTAACCTAACAGTATACTAAGTACTGTGGTTTTAAAAATTTTGCAGATGACCTATGTTCACTATTTTACCTGAATTTACCCGAGGGCCAGTAAGACTCAAGTAGCCTCGACGAGGACGGGGAAGCCGGCGGCTTGTCAAAGATCCCCCCTACATTTGCCCTGATTATTTTTTCAAGCTGGATTTTAACAAGAGAATTTTGTCATTTACGGCTTCGGCGGACAAGCAATTCTAGTAGTCTACCAGTTCTCTCTCTCCAGTTTTATGCTTACTTAAACAAATACCATGACACCAGAATAATAGTGAATAACTCGGCATCATGAGATAATTGAAGACCAGAGGAGGACTACATATCAATGTTCAATCCAAAATAAAGTCACACACACACACACGGTTTTTATATCATTATATTATATGTTTTTTTTATCATTATATGACAAAGAGTGCAGGGAAGACGGGACACCACGAGCGTAGCTCTCATCCTGTAACTACACTTAGGTAATTACACTTAAGATGCTCTGTCTAGTGTCTGAGATGCTCCCGGACGCAGGTTCGAATCCTCGTCACGGCCCTCGTGGATTTGTTCATTTAATTACACTTAGGTAATTACGGTCCACACCACACACACCTCATGCAGCAGGTGAGAGCGCTGTAGTTACTGGCTGCCACACTCCTGATGGCCTGCATGGTGAGGGCTGGACGACGGGGAGGGCGCTGGAATAATGGTGCTGCTCTAGAGGCGACCTGGGGACCTTCTGGAGACCTGGAGACCTGGGGACCTGGAGACCCGGAGACCTGGGGACCTGGAGACCTGGGGACCTGGCGACCTGGGGACCTGGGGCGTGTTGATGGTCAAGCTTTGGACTCCACTCCTGCCTCACTATACACGCGGCTCCTTCACATCCGCCACAGTCCCGCGACGGTGTCACAGTCTCCTGTAGGGTCACTGTCAGCGTAGTGTCGTCCGGTGCTTCGTTACAACACGAGTTTTGGATTTACTTGGGTATAATAATTTTCATTGGGGGGTTGAATAAGCAAGAATTTATAACCTAGTCAGCCTGAAGGAAATTTGTATTTTGTTGGATGAAAACCAATGTGGCCGGACAATGTTACCAAATAACTCATATTATCCGCCGGCAAAATTATTTCTTGAGATAATTGTTATTACAGCTTTATATTAGAATAATTACAAGTATGCTACAGTTCAGTAAAAGCTTCCCTTCACCATGGACAATGTTTTATTAAGGTGATTACACGTCTAGCTGTCACTGGTACAAGTAGCTGCTTATACATGTGCACGGCAGCAAGTAAGAAAGCGCTGTTGTTGTTATATAATATTATTCATGTCATGGATGTTTAAGACTTGTCTACATATCAATAATACGGGAGCAGTAAAGACATTATTAACGTACGTGATATGTCATGGTATAAATGATATCAATATATATATATGAAATAAATAATAGTTTTCACAAAACCAGTTTAAACCAAGATTATTTTAAATATAAATATTTCAAAGTATGTTTGAAAAAATCATAAATTATTACCGAGTCTAGAAATTGCAAGTTATCAGCAATCAGCTATACAGAAAATATATACTGCATTGAAATAATTGGCAACACTTCTTGGATAATGAGTGGAAAATAAGTTATATCTTTGTTAAAACTACAGCTAACTAACAGTATGGCTATAAATTATTTATTTGACGGTAGTAACTTATTTTTATAATAATACTTGAAATTACGGATTTATAAGGTAACACTGGGTGTATATATAAGAACTTGTGTCGACTCACTTAACGCCCTGAGCCTCGGACCAGCATGTTGGAGCAAATGTAAACATTGGAATATTGCAATAGTGCAGTCATCAGTCATCGGGAGGAAAACCCTTCATGCCAACTGCACGTATCCGAAGAAGAAATTGCAATAAACTGTTCTTCATGCAAAGAGCACGTACCGTAAGGAAGAATACCATATTGCCCAAGGTAACAAAATGTCTAAGAAAGATGTCTTGGAAGAGGCCAAAAGGCAGGCAGCTGAGCCAGGATCGTACATTAAGAAGGTGGAGAGGGAATTACCATTGTGTATTCACCCTAAGTTCACCCAGGAGATGAGGAAGGGCGTTTATCAAGAGCTGGATGCCTTGTCCAGGCGCTACTCTAAGGTGTAAGTACATTCTCGAGTTTAATGGGGAGGATATACACTATTGGGTACCCAAGATGGTTCATCGTGCCATCATCAACATAACTCAACTTTTTCAGTGTCAGAGTAGTTAACAAATGGAATGTATTAGGCAGTGATGTGGTGGAGGCTGACTCCATACACAGTTTCAAGTGTAGATATGATAGAGCCCAATAGGATCAGGAACCTGTACACCAGTTGATTGACAGTTGAGAGGCGGGACTAAAGAGCCAGAGCTCAACCCCCGCAAGCACAACTAGGTGAGTACCAACATCGCGTATGCACCAACATTCAGTGTTCAACAGATTTTGCCTTACATGGTATCGTGGAACATACCATGTCCTTCCCTAACCTGAACTTTTCATCCCTCGTCTAAATATTCCATAATATTTACCATAAAGTAAGAAAAGTTTCTTCCGTACCTTAAAAAAAAAATTATATCTGGCCAATTAATTACCATAAAGTAAGAAAAGTTTCTTCCGTACCTTAAAAAAAAATTATATCTGGCCAATTAATAATAAAGTATGGGGAAGCTTTGACATGCAGGCTGAGATACCATGTTTTGTCAGTTAAACGCATATCCTTGTTTGACTTAACATATAAGGTACCATTTAAGTCGATTGTTCTTCTAGTGTTGTTTGGTCAACATTTCTTCAGCCATGTTATTGTGACTTCATCTGTATGAAAGAATTCCTAAAAGTTTGCTTTGTTTTCTTTCTTATTTTCTCAGTCTTTAGCTTTGAAGCACTTCTCATCCCTCTGCAGTCTTCCCAGGCAAACTCCTTGTTAAAGCCTGAATGTTACTTCTCTAGTACTGTATTAAGTTTTCCTCTCCGTGTCTGTAATTTAATATCCTCACTTGAATAATTTCAAAATAATATTTCTGTGTATGTGCATGACTTGCAGATTGATACACAATTAACAATATCAATTGTTTGGCCTTTTGTTCTTTGTCTTGCTAGACATTTAAATAATTTGTCTTTGAAAGGTGACTAAAGTATCATATGCTAGTTGTTAAAAAGTAATTCCTTTCATATGATTTTTCTCAGGCTTGGAGGACTAGCCATGGCTTATGAAAATGTACAGCTCGTATCATCTCGCGGCTGGCTGTTCAGCACAAATCCATTTATTCACGTTGTTGTCCGTGCTCAATTTTATGTGTTTGCTCCAGAAGCTGGTACTGTAATGGAAGGTAAGCCAACTATTGTATTTACTGGTGAATCATGAATCCTGTGACTAAAACCCAAAGCTTACTTATATATATGACGTTGAAAGTTAGCTAAGAGTAGAGAGCAGTTGAAGAGGTCATGAGTAATGTAACAAACCTTCTCTAGTCACCCAACATGTGCCAGTGTCACCCAACATACTGTACTGTGCGTACTACCTACTATATCCCCATACCCACCCCACATCCCTACACTGATTCCAATTGTACTAAATAACCAGCACCTATACATCGACCACAACACACACACCAAACTACTCTACACAAAAACACCCCCACTCGCCCAGCACATGCCCCGCTCACACTCCCACCCCACCTGCACTCCTCCCCGACTCACCTGACACATGCCCAACATATACCCCACCCACACTCCCTCTGACTCAACCCATCAAATAACACCCTATGCATACCATCCCACACTCATTCCTCCTCTTTGTGTGTCTATATTTAAAATATGGGGCTGGCACTGTTGTTTCAGAGAATATTCATAATATTGTTTATAGAGTACGGTATTGCAATAAGAACATTAAGTTATTTCATTTGACTTCAGATTTTGTTAAAAGTTTTTGATTCCTGTAACAAAATATTCAGTATAATATATCCTAATGTATAAATTCCTCCATCAGCTGTTGTGAAGAAGAAAACGAAAACTCACATAGGCTGCTTGGTCCATGGGATGTTTAATGTCTCGATATCCAAACCCATAGGCAGCTCTGTTAATGGTTGGTGTGGCACCTACGCTCAAGAAGGAGATTTTGTAAAACTTACCATCACACATGTAACTTTCACTACCTTCGTGCCACATATCAAGGCTGAATTCGACCATGAAAGGTTAGTAATTCTAAACAAATTTACATTGTTACTTGTCATTATTCCTGTGAAGAGTAAATGGGTTCTGAATGTAAGACTGCTTGTCTGCACCTGTTTTTGATGAGTTTTGTAATGTAGAATGACTGAACAGAATGGAAATGGAGGAGCACAAATAAATACAGTATTTGCAGGCGATGAGTCACAATAATGTGGCTAAAGTATGTTGACCAGCCCACACACTAGAAGGTGAAGGGACGACGACGTTTCGGTCCGTCCTGGACCATTCTCAAGTCAATTGAGAATGATCCAGGATGGACCGAAACGTCGTCGTCCCTTCACCTTCTAGTGTGTGGTCTGGTCAAATACAGTATTTGTTAAAAAGGAAAATAAATTATTTGGTAGTTGGAAGAGTGTGTTAACCCCTGCACTGCACACCTCTTTTTGGCAAAAACTTTGTAGTGCAATTGTTAAGGACATATTTTTGTTGTTTTTATAAATGTTCAGGTAAAATTAATGTTGAAATGTTTCGAAACTCAACTATTTTCATTTCAAAGCACAAGGTGTGATGAAAACATTAAAAAATGTTAAAATATAGCCTAATTAAAAAAAACAGACAACTCTCAAAACAGCATTTGTTGTTTGGTGCAGTGCAGTGGTTAAATTATGACTTATGAGAGACACTTATGACAATGAGAGTTAATCATTCTTAGGAATTGTATTTGAAAATATGAATTACAATATTTCATAAATTAATAACTTTTCTATGCTAATCTACATTCCTGTTTGGCTTGTTTTGGGCCCCCCTATCAAGGGTGAGGCTGTCAATATGGCTACCCAACCAGTTTCTAGATAGACCCAGTGGTGTCTTGTAGAAGGGCATGTGCCTCATTCCTTTTCTTTGATAGATATTAATGTTTTATCTCATTCCCTCCCCTCCTCCCCCCAGCCTGTCCTTATCTTGTAATTTCTAATCAGCTATATAACTGGTGCTAGATTCGAGACTTGTAATGCTGGGAAAATTGGCCCACTGTTTAACAGCTAATGCTGATTAGTTGTGTATACTGGAATGTTGCATATCTTCAGTGTAATGGATGTATGCCTATTATTTTTTCTTCAACAGTGTTCAGAAGCTGATGATGATTTCTACTGGAGAAAATGAAGACGATGGTGTTATTGATGGCAATACTTCTGCGACAAATCGCATTGTGTTTGATAGTGACAGTGGTATAAGTAGCAATGAATGCAAACCCTTGATTAAGAGTGAGAAGAAAAGGAATAAAGCAAGATGTCTAGATTTTAATGATGAGGCTCTTGAAGATGATACTACAGATGTAAAGACTCTGAAAAAAGTGAAAGGCCAAAAAAGGAAGAGATCAGAAGATAACTTTAATGGAAGTTACATAGATGATACAGATGGTGTTAATCACAAGAAAAAGAAACAAAAAAGGGATAGCAGTATGTATGGAGATACGAATAAGACCTTAGATATGGATGTTAAGCAAGAAAAGGAGGGAGGCACAATGAATGACATTGTAGGGGATAATGTTGAGTCTGTTGCAGAATTCAAAGACACCAATCATAAAAAGAGTAAAAAGAAGAGAAGTATGGATGGAAACATGAATAAAAGCTTGGAGATGGATGATGACAAAAGCATAATTAAAAGAGAGAGAAATGACAATGAAGGGTTCAGTTCGAATTCTATTACAGAATTCAGAGATACTAATCATAAAAAGAGTAAAAAGAAGCGAAGCATGGATGGAAACATGAATAAAAGCTTGGAGATAAATGATGATGAAGACATGAATAAAAGCTCGGAGATGAATGAGGATAAAGACATGAATGAAAGAGAGAAAAATGACAGTGAAGGGTTCGGTTTGAATTTTATTAGAGAGTCCAGAGACAGTAATCATAAAAAGAATAAAAAGAAGCGAAGCATGGATGGAAATGTGAATAAAAGCTTAGAGATGGATGATAATAAAGACATGAATGAAAGTACAGAGTTCAGAGACAGTAATCATAAAAAGAAGCGAAGCATGGATGGAAACGTGAATAAAAGCTTAGAGATGGATGATAAAGACATGAATGAAAGTACAGAGTTCAGAGACAGTAATCATAAAAAGAATAAAAAGAAGCGAAGCATGGATGGAAATGTGAATAAAAGCTTAGAGATGGATGATAAAGACATGAATGAAAGTACAGAGTTCAGAGACAGTAATCATAAAAAGAGAAAAAAGAAAAGTATGGATGGAAACATGAATAAAATCTTAGATATGGATGTTAAGCTGGAAAAGGAGAGAGAGATGAGGAATGACTTTGAAGGGAATAATATTGATTCTGTTGCAGAATCGAGAGACAATAGCCATAAAAAGAGGAAGAGGAAGCAAAGTATGGATGGGAGCATGAATGACAGCTTAGATATGGATGATATTAAACACAGGAAAAAGAGGCAGAAAGAGAATAACAATAATAGAGAGAATGCTTTGATTGCCGAATTCAGAGAAGATGGAAAAAAGAAACGAGGTATGGATGAAAATATGACTGAGAGCTTGGACCCAGAAGTAATAAAATATGAAAGACAGGGAATTTCAAAAGACAGTAAAGGTGTTATTGTATCTAAAGTCAATGAGAGTCCAAAGAAAAGCAAGAAGAAAAAGATGTTATCAAATAATAACAAAGAAACAGACTCCATAAATCATAATAGTAATGACACAGTAAAAGAAAATGTAAATCAGTTCAAATCGCAGAAAAAGACGGTTATGAGTGAAATTGCATCTCCTCGACAAGCGCAAGTGACCATAATATCTCCCTCTATAAAATCAAAGGATGTTGACACATCCTATCAAAAGAAAAGAAAGAGAAGTGTCTTGCCACAAGAGTTGAAGGGTAGCAAAATTACACCACCCAACTCCAAAAAACAACATTCAAGGCAATTGTCACAGTCTGCCACAGAGATTAGTACAATGGAGATGTTTGCTGAACTCCCATTACCAGATTTTGAGTCTGATGAATATTAATCGTCTTTAGAAAAAAAAAATAAATAAATAAAACAGAATGGTTAGCAATGCTTAAAATGGCAGAGGAGCGGATGGGAGACAATCGAGCAGCCCAGACACTACGAGCAGGTAAACACGAGACTTAAAAAGAGTGAGGGAAAAAATACATTGGCACGTTCTATATCTTGTACACCACTTTTACGTTTAGAAGGTGAGTACAGTAGTGTAAGTGTTTAGTGAGATAAATTTAGTGGAGACACATTGTCAGTTTCCTTTTGACTTGTTACTTGATGATGGTTTGCATATACAGTAGTACAGGGTTTGCATATACAGAACTGTAATATTGTAGTACAATAGTCATTTAATCGTACGTTAGAATCCTCGGGTGTTTGCTCACTCTTCCCCAATTTTGACAAAAAAAATTAATTTACTGATAGTGGTTCAGGATGGACCGAAATGTCATAATTTCCTTTTTTCAGCTGCGTAGGTTGAAGAATAACACGTTTCTTTTGCTTGGTGTATGATTTATTTCAAGTGTTTTGATACCCGAGGGTACTAACACGGCCAAATCAATTATTATTGATGTCACCTGTAAAAACTAAACTTCAATAACTTGATTATTTTAATTTACTGGATGTTAAAAAGAGTGAATTTAAAGACTGTATAAATTTAAAATGTTAATTTTAAAGTACAGTACTCTATAATGACAGAGGTCCTGCTCAAAAGAAGAGTAATGGTGAACTTAATTATTAAAGCAATTTTATTCTAAAATATGTTTTATCTTTGTGATCTTTGTGTTATTTTAAATTGAGTACAGTGACGACTTCATCCCTGATGGTCCAAGAGGTTGGGCACTGTTTCTTCCCTTTCACATATCACAGCCCCTGACCTGTCCACATATCCCTTCCGTGTGCTATATTGCCATACTGGCTTTACACTTTCTCCTGATAATAAGTATCATCATGTCATTACTCACTTCTAAATCATGATAAGTTATAGTAACTTCCACAGAATATCTTGTACAGTATATTGAAACATTGTCCGAGTTTGTATCTAGGCAATCTGTAAATTGACAGAACTAAGCTCTCATCTAGGCAGTTTATAATACTGCTCGAATGATAAAAGCATTGTTGGTAGATTCTAAAGGAGCATATTGAAATTTAATTGAAAATGAAAACATGTGACATAAAAAATACTGTAGTACAATAGTCTTAAATATGACCAGATGGACGATAATACCACTTTTGCTTAGGTGAGAAATTAAAAAAAAATTGGAAAGGTTGCATGGCAAGGCTACAAACTTAACAAAGTCTTTCAAGCGCACTACAAAACTTTGTGATCAATCTAGTTTGATAGGACTTGTTTGAAGCAAGGTTCTGTCATTATTGCTCTGGTAAAGTAAGCATTTATGAAAAATGTGCATGTTACGAATGGGAGAGAAAGTAGGGTGGAAAGAGAGACTAGGTTACCTTGAGATGATTTCAGGGCGTAGTGTCCCCCACAGCCCGGTCCTCAGCCAGGCCGCCTTTTTGTTACACACCCCCAGGAAGCAGCCCGTAGCAGCTGTCTAACTCCCAGGTACCTATTTACTGCTAGGTAAGAGGCATCAGGGTGAAAGATACTCTGCCCATTTGTTTCTGCCTCCACTGAGGATCGAATCCGAAAACTCAGGACTACGAACCTGTAGCGCTGTCCACTCAGCTGTCAGGCCTGGGTGGCAGACGTTTGTGCGGGTGTTTTTATATGACAATTCAAAAGGAACACCTTACACCATTTTAGGAAGCTGTGGGCGATTGATTGGTGTGGTGGTGGTTCTTTGATGTTGTGTGTAAGCTGTTAAAAGGTGATACCTGGTTGATGGGGTTCTGGGAGTTCTTCTACTCCCCAAGCCCGGCCCGAGGCCAGGCTTGACTTGTGAGAGTTTGGTCCACTAGGCTGTTTGCTTGGAGCGGCCTGCAGGCCCACATACCCACCACAGCCCGGTCCGGAATGACATTTGTCATTCACCATATCTTTGGCCTTCTATTATCTCTAATAATTGTATGAAAGTGAAAAATGGGTTAATGCTGGGAGTAAATATTGAAAGCCACAATTAAGAGGGTCTACCAAAGATATGATACAATATTGTGAAGTTCAGTATGTGTTATTTTCCCATTTACCAACAAGTGTGGCTTCCTTTTTAAACACTGGTTATCATATAAAGTAGTTCTGGTTGTGTTTAAAGATATATTACTATATTAACCATGTAAATTTGTCAATACAATATATAAATGTTGTTATGATGTGGTTTCAGTCACCATAGGTAATGTGTATATTATTTATTGTGCTAATTGTAAAGCAATAACTGACTATTTGTAGTTGCTATTAAATGTTAAATATTCAGCATTTTCAGTCATTGAATGTATATACCTTGCATCTGTATAATATTCATTATTCTTGTCTCATAATATTGCTTAAGTCACATATTTGGGGGTGTGATGTAGCACAATCATTGCCCCCCCCCCCCCCCTCCTTCCCCACCCCAAGCCTTACAAGCCATATTGGCCAGGCTTTGAGTCCTGGGTTAGATGCTTGTAAACCAATTTGCAGGTTGTATTTCATAGAAGACTAATAGAGTAAGGCTTAAGATGAATTGTGGTACGTATGGAAAAAGCTCAAAGCCTACCAACGAGCATAATCATCGGCTCCTGTACACATATGACAGAGTGCTGGGAAGACGGGACACCACGAGCGTAGCTCTCATTCTGTAACTACACTTAGGTAATTACACCAATGGAGGAGGGGGGGTTATACTATCCTGGAACATGATATAGATATACACTGGTCATATTGGCTTAGTGCTTTTTCCTGATAATTACCTAACCATCCTGGAACATGATACAGATATACCCTGTAGTCATATTGGCTTAGTGCTTTTTCCTGATAATTATCTAACCATCCTGGAACATGAACTTGGCTATTAACGCACTAATTACAGTACTAAATTTTATCATTTGTATTGTATAAATAGTGTTGAAATAAACAAGTATTGAACATAAGGCACCAAACTGGGGAGAACTATGTAGCATTAGTGTTGAAAGAGAGAGTACGTATCTGAAAATTCTACTCCTAAGGCATACAGGGTTATAATAGGTGTGCTATATTGATTTGTTTAAATATAATTATGATTTTAGTTATGCTAGTCTAGAGATTTAGGAATACAGTGTAGTCGTCTTCCAACTGGTAGACTTCATCCAAGGTTGCCTAGTTTTCTTAGTGTTTGCTTGTTTTCTTGCATTTTTACTTGCTACTTGTATTTTCTTGGTTTTAGATTTAACTCCTATTCTCAAGTTTGCCTTAATTGAGAGGCAAGTTCTGGCCCTGATTCCCTGTTAGCATGTGTTGGACTTGGAGACCTGCAGCATCTGTCTTAGACTTGGCTGAACCAGCTCTTAGTACATCATCTTCCTCAACATTGATCTAACAGTTTAGGTCTATTCATCTTTACCAAATATTGGAGTATTACTTATGTCACGTGGGGGGTGGGCCGGGGCTCTGCTAGCACTCAGCTGCTAGGGGCTCAAAAGGCTGAATACTCAGCCCTTCCGACTCCCGGGATTCACCGGAGTCCTTTGGTCACACAGAAGAGGACCAACAATGCCCACCTCCGCAGGTCTTTGCTTCCACCACAAAAGGGGTGCCACTGATTCACCCTGGAAGCCCTTCAGTCAAACACGGGGGGAACTACTGTTAACAGTTCCGGCCTAGACCCGTGGAGGAGTGAAGGAAGACTCAGGCTTACCTTATAACCATAACCTCCCTGAGTCTTGCCTGCCAGACAAAAAGGTTGCAGGAACTCTTTTCCCACCTGTTCTCTATCTTCTTCTTAACAAGGTCGCCAGCTGGGTTATTATATCTGCACCCCAGCAATGCAGTTCAGTGGGTGTATTATATATTGTTTGTAGCCAGAAGATTGCTACTCCCATAGATCTGCTGCTAGACTGTTGGCCCAGGGTACTCTCCCAGGAAGGTCTGTGTGGCTTTACCTCTCTCTAGCCACTATGTTAATAGTTGCCACCATTCAGGCACTGATACTGATCGGATGGCTAAGGGTACACTTTTATGTAAGTCTGTGCTGTCCTTACCGCTCTCCAGGCAATAAGAACTTCTATAGAGAACGTAATGTTCCCTAGGTGGCACTATGATAACCTTCGTGTATGCTCATAGAGAAATATTATAAATGGAGGCACACTTAAACACAATGATAAAATGTGTGAACTTACTGATGCAAATTATATGAACACACATACAATAACAAGTAATACAGGAATATGAAAATAAGGATAATAAGTCTGGAGATCGTCAGCCTCTTCTTCCACGACCTCCAACACTCCTTCAACTGGGCAGAAAGACAGGAGTCCCACACTCTCTCACAGGAAGGCCTCTTCACCACGTCGGCGCCTCCTCTTCACTGTCCTGCCATCCATACACACTGTCCCCTTTGACAGTCCTGGACACAAGCTGCCTTGCAGCCTATTCTACTACTAAAGTATTAATGTCCCGTTGCCACATACATAAGTAACTATTGTGGCCTAACTAGCCTACTCACACAAGGGGTAATGGGAGGGAAAATGATCTACCTTACATTCCTGGCTCACGACGCCTGTCCCTCGATGGTGTGAGGTTCCCACGCTTCCCGAGTCGATCTTCGACGATCCAGGAACGTTCCACAGGTCCTCAGGTGTCGTGGAGCCTTCGCGTCGTCGCCGTTCCAATCCCTGAGATTCAGCTACCCCAATCCTGGTTCATCGATAGGCGCTGAGCTAACCACTATTTTCCCACACTCGCCCCTTCCACAAGGCGTTGCTCCTTGTCCTAGGCACGGTGTTGTCCTTCCAAAACCCTCAGTGGATGTGCCCTGGTCACAGCTAGGCTTGCCCGCCACACCTTTCCAGGCACCCCAACGTCCAGCGTCGTCGCCGAATATTTTCCAAGTTTGGCACTCTTTCGCTCAATAAACTTGGTTCCTTTTCGCTTCCCAGAAGCGCGGGGTCTCCAATACGTGAGATGGGCTGCGATAGCCTGCACTAATCCACCGAGAAAGGCTTGTAGAGCCTCAAATCCTTGAGAGCAGACCGAGGCGCGTCCTCTCGCTGTGATAATGTATTTTTACACAGTAATTTACATTAGTTTACCAATCTGACCATTTTAGTGCTTCTTGCCCATGATAATCAACATCATACGTCAGAAGAAAAAAAATTCTATCTAGCAATGACTCGTCCAACTGTAATAGAAACTGCTGAGTGGTGTTCCCTCTAAATGGCACTCAGGACACCTGCCATAGCTTAGATACGTCCCTGGAAATTATTGATGCTAGCTTCATCAGTGTCAAAATTCTACCGACAGTACAGAACTGCAGAACAATGCCAAGACTTCTTTAATCCAGAAATTGAGGTCAACTAAGCAGATATTTTTTTAATTTGTTTTTAAACAGATATTTAAAGGTTAAGAAAATCAAGGGTAACAGGTGGTGCTATTAGCTTCATTTTATTAAAAATAAATACTGTATTTCTGAAAAATTGGAACAGACATTTATCACATATCTGTATATCTTCATCATAAAAGATAGCACCAATTTAAGCAGTTAAATGATACATGCAGCATATAACCACTATATGATGTAATACATATTTTGGCCCGAAATTTATTAGCTTTATTAGTTTATCAATAGTACAAGGTTTAAATGTCTGGTAATCCTGGTATTGGGAATTTAACCGCATAAGCTTCTACCTTCTCCCTGAGAGCACCCACACGTGTCTTGAAATCCTCATCATCCAGGACACGCTTGAAATCCACCAACTTGGGTCCAGATGTTGCTTGCACATCTTTTGCAATCTTGAAGGCTGTAATAAATTTATGTAAAACTTAAAATCTTAAATATATGGTGCACTAACAATACAGAATTAAAAATGTGTCATGGAAACCTTTAAAATTTATGCAGTAATGGTAATTGAAGGTGATATGTATGACGCGTGATATTATGTGCATGATCTTAACTTTGCTGTCCCAGCCAGCCTTTGGCCACTTTAGCCAAATCTTAACTCTGCTGCTGCTTCTCCATTATACTTAAACTAGCTGTACCTGGCTATATGTTGCCGAGCCACAGTAACCCTCCCCTGTCCCCCCATTATCCCCAGTCCCCTCGTCCTCCCAACCATTCCCCCCCCCCTCATCATCCCAACCATTCCCCTGTCCCGTTGTCCTCCCCACCATTCCCCCCTCCCCTTCGTCCTCCCCACATCCTGTCCCCTCGTACTCCCCACCATTTCCCCCTCCCTGTCCCCTCATCCTCCACACCTTCCCCAATTCCCCTGTGCCCCCCACTATTCTCCACTTCCCCTTAAAAATACCTAACTGCCTAGATTTAAAGAGAAACTTAGGATGCTATCACTAGAAAGACCAGAGTTGTATCAGTCCAAATATGCAATGAAAGTGTGTACCACGAGACATCGATTAATTAGGATATTAACTAGCTGAAATCGGGCAGCCATGATAGACACTGTTGGCATGATTTTGGGGGACAGGTTTACAGGTCACCCTTGAGATTACCACTTCCTGCAAGGCTTGATATTGATCGTTAGGGAATGGACCAATCACTGGTGCCACTTCCAGTAGGCATATGTCGATATAATGAAGTTATGATTGGTCCAAATGAAGGAGCAGTAACATGACAGAAGATAGGTGAAAAATAATGCTCCTATAATGTAGATTTCAGCATGTGGCGGCGGGGATATCCACATCCCTCGACTGAAATGCCTACCTTCATCCATGAATAACACAACCATCTTTATGTCATCTTCCTTCATGCCCCTTGTGGTGAGAGCAGGAGTCCCCAAACGAATGCCACTTGGGTTCAATGCAGATTTGTCACCGGGAACTGCAATAATAACATTAATCATACTGTCAAGACCCAAACTGAACTGTGATTGCAAAAAGAATAATAATTTTAATTATATATACAAAAATTGTTTTTATATATTTGCTCTTAAAGTCTACTGGAAAGCAATTTAGATGGAGAAAAAGGGGGGGAATAGTAACAGTCAGCTGCTTGGAGAACTAAGTCCATAGATTGAATGGACCACTGGCAGCTCACTTTCAGCCCCCAAAGGTAACTGCCCATTTGTTGCATTTACAACCCAATGAATAAGGTCTTAAAGGATTACACGTCTAAGGCGACTTTATAACATTTGTTTTTTACCCGTGTTCTTGTTGCATGCTATGGATACATCTTCCAAAATTTTTTCAGCTTTGCCTCCTGATAGCCCCACAGATCGCATATCCACCCACACTAAATGGTTGTCAGTTCCTCCTGTAACAATCTTGTAGCCAGCAGTCTGCAAGCCTTTGGCAAGCTCTTTGGAATTCTTTATTACCTGCAATGGATTTTGATTGTAAGTGCAATTTCCCAAATATCTACTCAATTTAAACTCAAGCAACCAGACCCTATCCTTAGTTCTGTGTACTTCTAAAATTGACAATTCACAACTTTAATATAATTAATTAATTAAATTTTAAATAATCTTTCCAGAAAATTAAGGATTTCACTATTAATTTAAGGCAGCTTGCACAGTATCAAGTGCAAGCTGCACTTAAATTTAAAAAATTAATAATTGAATATGAAGAAAATATGAGTGACTGGAATGGTAAAATCATTTTAAATAGTACAAGCAAGATACTACTAACAGAAGAAATTATCTATTATTAGTCTGGCAAATAAAAATTAAACACTTATGATTGATAACTTTATTTTTTTATGTTCAACACTTAACAAAAATTAAAGAATGACATTAATTTCAGGGAAGCATCTTGTAAGGCATAAAAGACGAAAAGAAATGGTCCCTTAAGCTTTGACATTTACATTGTGAACCCCAAAATTATGAACACAAGGTGACATCTGCGTCGTTATATTCAGGGTAATTAATGTAAGACTATATACAAATACTTGATAATTTAATAGGTATCAGGGCACATGATGGAATCGAAACCCCGACCGAGTTCAGTCATAGGTTTAATTCCCTCGTACAGCCTCAATATTATCGAGATTCATCACACACTCATGATTTCATTGCTCATTTAACAATTACAGTACGTTTTTTGGTCACGGGACTAAAACAAATGTTAATAACTAATATTCAAATGCAAATTATTTACAAAAATGATGATAAAACAACACTTTACAGCACAGCACCAGTACGGCAAGTAGTTTAATTATGTTGATCTTTAGTGAGATAATGAGCGAGTATAACTCTCGTTACTAACCTGTTCCTGGTAATCTTTAAATGAAGGTTCAGCAGCTTGTCTCATTGTAACAGCAATAGCTGCAATCTGATGATTATGGGGTCCTCCTTGAAGGCCCGGGAACACTGCCTGATTGATCTTGTCCTCGTAGTCATACATTATTGGTTTTCCATTTTTGTCCACACCTTTCTGGCCTGTGGCAGATATAAAATGAACGAATAACATTAAGTAATCATTAATATGATTCATCATTTGATAAATATTTTAATTCATTGTTTTGGGGGACAGGCAGCCAGTTCAGTATATACATACAGTACACGTTTGGGGTTATATCGAGGTAACCCCCCCCCCCCCCTTCAGGGTCAAATTACCGACTCTGCCCAGGATGCAACCCCCAGAACGAGAACAAACTAAGACTGTACTACTGGGACCCTCATGAATATTTAAATGCAGTATACAGATCGACTTGAGTGGTCCAGGACGGACTGAAACGTCGTTGTCCCTTCACTTTCTAGTGTGTGGTTTGGTCAACAGTACACAGAAAATTATGCAAGTAGTGCTTATAAACTTTTATTCGTGAATAAACATCTTTAGTCAATATCTAATCAAAATATAAATCTTCACACAAGAATAAATCAATATATTAGTTTATTTAAAGTATAACTTTAATTTTTTAAACTTGCTGTAATCAACTTCATAAGGATAATTACATTTAATTTGCCATGATATAAAGGCAGCCATTAGGTTTAAACATCATCCACAGTCAAGGAGACCTATAGGATTCTGTGATTATTCACTTAAGTCAAATTTATAGTATATTACTCCAAAACTCTTGCAAACAGGGGTGAACACATTAAAGAAGAGGTTCTGTACCATTCTGCATAGGTGTATAGGAAATATGCATGACTTTTAGATGGAAATAGACACAAGTTTAAACAGAAAGCAAGGTTTGGAATATCTAAAAATAATACAAAGACCATTAGTCATATACTGCAAGATATGAAATGAAATACAAAATACTTTTACCCATATTGGGGGATAATAGGGAATTTTATAAATGACAAAACAAAATTTAAGATAGCGATTTCATTAGCATTCAAGAGTTTTGGGTATACTGTACAAGGCTTAGATGCATTAGATTTGTAAAGGAATTGGTACAACGAACTCATTGATGCATACCTCTTCTATAGAAGATAACTCCACTTCGAGGTCCACGAAGTGTCTTGTGCGTAGTTGTAGTGACTACATCACAGTATTCAAAGGGGTTTGTAGTTAGGCCTGTGGCTACAAGGCCACTTACGTGCGACATGTCGGCCATCAAGAGGGAACCATTCTCGTCACAGATCTCCCGGAACCTTTTGTAATCCAGGTGACGAGGATAACAACTGACACCTGTAGTACAACAAATGGAGTTTAACCCTTACACACCAGCTATGGAGAAATGCTCACACTCGTTTATGCACAAAAAAATAACAAAATTCAAACAAATAATATTTCATTGTAGAATTATTAAGTTTATGCAGAATGTAAAAAAAATAATGGAAATAAGCGAATGTTTATCGTTTCACTGAGGTGGAGGTGCTTTGCAAGGTTGCGTCTGGCACTTGTCAACGCCTGGTGCTTGACTATGCTGACTTCCTGTTTTAGCCTCCAATGTTTCACTGGTTGTTTTATCACTCATTTTTCTTTACAGTATTTACATCCACAGAGCTTTTATATCCATATTTGCATCATACATGTAAAACCCAGACAATAATTTTTTAAAATCATATGATAATGACCGCATTCCCGTGATAACATTCATGACAATAACTGCATTTGTACCGCAAAATACTAGCAGGATTTTTCCATGGATCAAGGTAAACCCCATTACATCCACATAGATCTCTTATACCCATATTTGCATCATACATGTAAAACCCAGACAATTTTTTAAATCTTCATATGATGATAACTGCATTACCCTGCGATTCAACAATTGCCACTGTAAGGGTTAAAGCTCAAATGACATTTATATATAATTCAAAACATTATGCTTCTTCTATGTTATATTCCGCAATCTCACTACAGTTACTTTTATTTTAACAAAAACTGCATCAAAGGATGTAATTTAGGCAACTGTTTTGTTACAGGTAATGAATAAGACCAAAAAAATTATTCTCTATAAAAAAAACTAGCACATCAGCCTAATGATCTGTTCATTATTTTTAATAGTGTTTCATATCTAAAATACCCTTACAGAACAAAATTTAAAAATTGAATCTTGCCTGCAATTATGAGCTTAGGCTTGAAAAGTTTAGCATTCTCTTGTAGTCTGTCATAGTCAATAAGCTCTGTCTGCAAGTTGATCTTGTAGGGCATCGATTCAAAGAATATTGACGTAGCTGACACTTTTTTGGTGGCTGTGTAGAAACCATGTGTGAGATGACCACCATCAGGAAGATCCAACCCTGTAATAAACAAAAAATATGCTCAACTCTGTTAGCACAAGCTAGAGAAAAGGCTAAATCTATGATACAGGGCAGTTATAGAACAATAGCGTCAAAGTACTATACATACTGTAATGTGGGTGAAATATCATGTCCAAGAACTTTTGAAAAACAAAAGTTGTTAATCCTTTTTCCAGTAGTAATGTAAGGTTGGATGAAGAATGTTTTGTCAGATCCTATCTAATGTATAAAGTATTCTTCAAATATAAGAAGTATTTGTTTCACAGTTCATAAAAAAATAATTCTGGCAGTCTTGAGCACAGTACAGTACTTTATAGAAAGCCAAGCTAGCATGCGTGTAGCTAGAGCCATCCCAGACAATTCATAATAAGCTCAAAACTCTATTCAATTTTATCACTTCAGAGGATTAAGACCAGTTAGCCATTAAAAATGTGTAATTCCATCAGCCAGGTTCTACAAAACAATTGACAATTGAACTGTTCTATTGACAACTATTAACCACTTTTCCAGTGAGTATGAATAGACCAATATTTTGCCCCTTACCCATAATACGTCCATGAGGTTCAACTAGAGCAGTGTAGACGGCAAAGTTGGCAGGAGAACCAGAGTATGGTTGAACATTGACACCCCATTCTTCAGGCTTCAGCCCAAACGTCTTGAGGGCCCTCTGCTGACACAGCACTTCCACCTCATCTATGAACTCGTTTCCACCATAATATCTAGAAACATAAGCTATGATGAATGACAGTACAACCAAAGTACATGTATGTACAGGGGGAATATATAGGGTTTAATAAAAACCATTGTACTGTAATTATAATGACATCCTATATAATTATTGAATGACGTGGAATATGAATTGTATGCCATAGAGGATGGCTCACCTCTGGCCAACCATGCCCTCGGAGTACTTGTTAGTGAGGCAAGATGACAAGCAATCATTTACCGCACGAGATGTGAAATTTTCCGAAGCAATCATTTCAAGCCCACGAAACTGCCGCCTCTAAAAAAAAAAAAAAAATGGAAAAGCATTGCATGCTAATTATATTGATTATATTAATAGTATGAATTTAACTAATCGTTATAAGAGAAGTTCAAGCTTACTATGACTATATTGGTCTCAAACTAGACCTTACCTTTTCTTTCTTGAGAATTTCATAAAGTTGAGGATCATCTTCGGATAAGGGCTTGCTCAAGGGGTAGTCCGCCCCCTCGCCATTGCTCACACTTCCACTCATCCTGCAGTCAAATTTATTACATTATATATGTGTAAATCACGAAAATTAACATGTGATGAAAAATGCGAGTCAGACCACGGAGGAAGAATCGAAACAGGCATTTCCTTAAGTACTTTCGTATATTAATACATCTTCAGAAGGAATCATATGAATTATATAACATATATATATATGTATATAAACATTATACAGTACAGTATATATTAGTTTATTATGGTCACCATATATTCACCTGATGGGGTGCATAATAAAAAGAAAACACACACAGGCTTAAGATTAATATAAGTTTCTTTTTAAACCTATTGTAATCTGACGAAAATAAAATACATCTTCGAATTTACTTACACTGTGTGAGGTGTGACGGCCTATAACAAATTACAACGGTTACAGTTATACTAAAAACTAGTAAACTGTATACTGTATTAGGTTTAATGTATTATACACACTTAAATAGGCGTACCCCACCCATTGCCAATAGTTTTTTTTAGAGCCTATTGGCAATGAGTGACAAAGCAACAGTATAGTGTAAACCGGTTTACATAAGACACCCTCGGGGCTCTCGTTTTCTATAACGTTAATAACAAAACAATCTGTGTGGCATCTGTAATAAAAGTTAACACAAGACAATATTATAATAGAGTATAATGATAACTGTTAGAGGAAATAGAACTAATAGAACAACACAACAAAGTGTTGAACAAATATATATATATACCGGGCAACACGTTGGGTACAACGCTGCCAGGCGTCGCCTTCCCATCTTCGTCTTAAGTTTCTGCAATAACTTTGTTGTTTTATATTATTATTATCAACTCAACCAAGTCTTGAGATATTTGGTATTGGGAGCTTTTTTTTTTACATCTTGCAAATGCTTCGTGTGCGACTTGATGCACGCCAAGAAGTTCACACTAACGAGGTCTTATCCCAATTGGCATCAAATAACGAATTCTTACCCAATTGGCAATAACTATTATATCAAGTTTATTATATTGGGTCACTTGGACACAGTATATTGTGGGGTCATTGTTATAGTTGAGAGAGTAGACTGGTGGCGGCCAGAGCGCCTGCAGGTATATACTCACTCAGCACTGGGAGGCGGGCGATGCGTAGCTCTCTGCTGTTACCTTCACAAAGATCAGCTGAGCAGCGAGCGCTGGCTTATGTAGCCTCGCCTCCCACTCTGGACCAATCAGCGAGTCAGTTGGTCGCGACGTGGTTTGGAGGGAGTTTCAAACGTTGTTGTGGCGATTGAAATTGAAATTGAAATTAAGTTTATTGAGGTAAAATACACACAAAGGGATGAGGTAGCTCAAGCTATTCTCACCCCGTTCAGTACATCGTGTTAATACATACATAGACACACATCACAAGCAATAAACGTATTACTGAACATTCTGAGAGATAAACATATACATTTCCTCCTTTACATTTACATTTCCTCCTTTGTTGTGGCGATGTTTGACGTTAATGTTGTACTTACCTGATTGTATACACCTAATTGCATTTGCAGGGGTCGAGCTTCGGTTCTTTGGTCTCGTCTCTCAACTGTCAATCAACTCGTGTACAGGTTTCTGAGGTTATTGAACTCTACCATATCTTCATTTGTATGGTATCTGCCTCCAACACATCACTTCCCAATATATTTCAATTTAACTACTCGATCACTTAAACAATTCTTTCTAATGTTTCTGAGGTTCGTTTTGGTCCTCAATTTGCACCTGTTTCCTTGTCCAAGTACCATCTCATGGCTTAATACTCTGTTTTAATGTGCCCTTTAAATTCTCCGATAATTTTCTGTGGTAATTATGTTTCCCCTAACTCTTCTGCCTTCCAGTGACGTGGTGTTCAATTCACGTAGCCTTAACTCCTAAGTCATACCACATAGTTCTGAAAATAATCTGGTTGCATACCTATGAACTTTCTCCAACTTGGTCTTGTGCTCGACTAGAGTACGCTGCATCCGCAATGCTCCAGGAATGGTGTACAAGGTTCTAAATAATTCCTTAAACAGATCTCTAAAGGCTAATGTTAGCTAGATTTGCATATGCCACTAATGATCAACATTATATATATATATATATATATATATATATATATATATATATATATATATATATATATATATATATATATATATATATATATATATATATATATATATATATATATATATTCTATATATATTATACATATATATGTATAAGTTTAATGTTTTTGTGACGATGTTTGGCATTTATGTTGAGGACGCTTTAACCAGTTATACCCGTCTGACTGTTTTTGTACCACCTGACCCGGCAGAAAATTATGGTTATCGTGTGTGTGTGTGTGTGTGTGTGTGTGTGTGTGTGTGTGTGTGTGTGTGTGTGTGTGTGTGTGTGTGTGTGTGTGTGTGTGTGTGTACTCACCTAATTGTGCTTGCGGGGGTTGAGCTTTGGCTCTTTGGTCAGAGCCAAAGTGTGTGTGTGTGTTCGCGCCTTATTTGTCTTGTCCGTGTTTGATATACTATACTTTTTCCACTTGAATTCTTCTTTGTTAACATATTTGTACTATTTTTTGCATTTTGATGTATTTACAATCCATACAGTTTGTTCACTCCATTCATTCATTACAGGTAACATTTCTTTTTGCTGAAAATTGATATATATATTTCCAGAGAATTACAATTATTTGCGTTCACAATTCAAGAAACTCAACAAATATAATGATAAACATTACAGACTGTACGCATTTCTCGAGGTGGGTTATCTTGGTTATCTTGGTTATCTTGAGATGATTTCCGGGCTTTTTTTTTTTTAGTGTCCCCGCGGCCCGGTCCTCGACCAGGCCTCCACCCCCAGGAAGCAGCCCGTGACAGCTGACTAATACCCAGGTACCTATTTTACTGCTAGGTAACAGGGGCATAGGGTGAAAGAAACTCTGCCCATTGTTTCTCGCCGGCGCCTGGGATCGAACCTAGGACCACAGGATCACAAGTCCAGCGTGCTGTCCGCTCGGCCGACCGGCTCCCAAAACAGGGTTAAAAACAGAATAGAATTGTCAAAGGGTATTAGACACTATAGTAATTAAGATAAGCCGTGTTGGGTCGTACTCCTATTTTAATGTCAAGTCGTACAAATTAGTCGTTAGTGGCGTCTAGAGAACAACCTTAACCAGCCTACCACAGAAACAACCTACCAAGTTCAAGTTCAAGTTGAAGTATGTTTATTGAGATAAGCAATAAATACATCTCAAAGGGATAGAGTAGCTTAGGCTATTTCTACCCTCCTCTACTTCAAGTCCCTCAAGGGACGCACGAATGTTGTGAGTACAAATAGACAAATAACATTACAAGAATCCCATTTAACATTGCAAACAACCTACCTACAGTACATAAAATAATATAAACACTTAATAATACAAATTTGACTAAGCCTTTGAAACAGTACCTCGACCAAGAGACATAATAATGCACGATATAACTAAAATTCAATAAAAGAAATTGACAAAAATCCTGAAAATTTCACCCTTATGGTGAAAGCGTAACAGTAAACCCGTTACCTAGGAGTAAAATAGGTACCTGGGAGTTAGCCAGCTGTCACGGGCTGCTTCCTGGGGGTGGAGGCCTGGTCGAGGACCGGGCCGCGGGGACACTAAAGCCCTGAAAAATCATCTCAAGATAAGGCGTAGGTAAAGTTTCCTCTCCGGGGGTTAATGGAGGTATCCCGTGACCGGGCGACCGTAAGCATCGCCTCCTTAACACGAACACATGGAGGATGTCTGCTTACGCATAACCTTATCATCTTATCATCCCCGTGATCTCAAGAGTTAGCGATGGTTGCTGCGTAAATGCATGACAGAAGATTTGTGCTAATGCTTGGATACTACAGAAAACGGGTTTACTATAGGTTAGGTCAGACTCGTATACCTGTTGCCTTGCCCTAAGGGGATATAATTACTTACCTGTATATGGTCAGTCTGCCTTTCGAAACTCAGTCTGCGTTTCTTTTTCATGTCAGTCTGGTTCTTTATCTCAGTTAATTCAATCAGATTATATTTCTCTTTATTACATTTCATTCTATTTCTCAATTCCTTAAACGGAATTTTAGGATTCCGCTTTAGGACGGAATGCTAAAACTGTCACTCCACTCTCCACTCCAGTCAATTGGAGCCTTATCCTAACCCCTTCTAAGTGCTATATAGTCGTAATGACTTGGACTACTGATGTTCATTGGAGGTTCAGTTCCTGAATTCATTGTGACTACATAGCTTGATTGAAATGTATTTTGGAAACTAGTTATACGCTGGATTTGGAAACTTAGGTATTATTATTATTATTATTATTATTATTATTATTATTATTATTATTATTATTAGTAGTATTATTATTATTATTATCTAACCAGAACTGTGAATCGAAAGTTATTGTATGTTAACAAATTTGTAACTACTGTATCTTATTACTTTAAAGTGTTTAGCTAAACGAATATTGGGGTTCAGTTCTTAAGCCTATTCCACTAATCCTTTCCAGTAACACTCACAGGATGAATATGTGTCCACTGCCACTCACAGGATAGGTATGCATGGGGTCCACTACCGTTCACAGGTGGGTATAGGGTCTACTACTGCTCAGAGGATGGGTATGGGGTCCACTACCGTTCACAGGTGGGTATAGGGTCTACTACTGCTCAGAGGATGGGTATGGGGTCCACTACCGTTCACAGGTGGGTATAGGGTCTACTGCTGCTCAGAGGATGGGTATGGGGAACAAAAACCATCTAATTATCACAGGGGACTTTAATATTGACCTCTGCGAGCCTGAACACCCTACTGCTCCACTACCACTACAGACCATTAATGCCTGACCATGCCTACTTATAAGAAGAAGAGCCCATTTCGGTCACAGGAACCCTCCTAAATTTAATTACTTGGCTTCCCTTGCGACCTGAGTTACCTGACACACCCATTTTGGTACCAAGAGCAGATGACGCATCAGGGGGGGGGGTAGAAATAGCCTAAGCCACTCTATCCCTTTGAGATGTATTTCTTTCTTATCTCAATAAACATACTTGAACTTGAACTTGAAATGACGCATCAGTAAATGTGACCATATGCTTTGGACGGGGTACATCGGATCTGGAAGATAGACAGTCGTTCTGTCCATCTTCCAGAATTCCATTTGAAGCCATGAGCAAACATAGCTACTCCTTCAAGCACAATAATAATAATAATAATAATAATAATAATAATAATAATAATAATAAAAAGAAGAAGAAGAAGAAAAAGAAGAAGAAGAAGAATTTGTTCAAAAGAATAATGATGCAGTCTACATCATTTAGGCTTCTTCAGTGACATGACATTTCTTCTAATTAGGTTAGTTCAGTCTCGAACTAACGAGACACGTTTCTTGTGTTTTCTGAGATATTTTGCAACTCTCTAGAGGGAATTTGAGGTCAACATATGTGAGTTTGAATCATTTGAAAACGTATTAATGTATTGAAAACGTACTAATGTATAGAATGTGTAGCCTAGTGCTTGAATTGTCAAGGAAATAAATAATGCTATCCTATAAGTGGTTGGGGACATAATGTTCGTACTTCTCATTACTATATTTATCTCGAGGGATAATGAGGTTTGAAGTTTTTGTCCACACTGAAAAATATATAATGGCATAATATTAAAATTGGGTTATTTGGAAACATACACACACTGGCGATATTGACAGAGAATCGATATAATTCCTTTTGTAAGGGAGAGGAAGCCTGTATTGAGGCTTAACGAGGTACTCCTAAGCCAGCTATCTTACACAGGAATGTAACCCACAAGTGAGTCTTGTGTACCCAAGTGAGTCACAGGGACGTTAGAATTTTAGAAAAAACTTTTTCAGTGTCAGAGTAGTTAGTAAATGGAATACACTAGGCAGTGATGTGGTGGAGGCTGACTCCATACAGTTTCAAATGTAAATATGATAGAGCCCAGTAGGCTCAGGACCCTGTACACCAGTTGAGAGGCGGGTCCAAAGAGGCAAAGCTTAACCCTCGCAAGCACAACCAGGTCAGTACAACAGTTGCCTAGCTCCTGGGTACCTATTTTACCGGCAGGTGAACAGAGGTATCAGGGGAAAGAAAACTTGCCCAACCATTTCTGTTTTGCCCGGGAATTGAACCCGGGGTCACTCGTCTGTGAGCCGAGGACGGAGACCACTTTGTATACAAAAG